ACTTTACTTTTATAGATCACAATCGGAGAATATCAGCATAATGCACACACTCCATAAATTTGATGAAGATGTAGATGTGTGATTGGTCATTGTCAGTACACTCATAATCCCCAACCTACTTAGCTGATGAAAAAAAAGAAGTCATTTTTGAACGATGAATTAAAAAAAAATCTTCTTTTTCAGTTTTTACCTATAAAAGGTTGGTTAGCTAGTATGGTCCACAGCTAGGATGTGGTATCTGTTCCTTTCCGACTTAACACATCTGATTTCAGTGAACCCCAAATTAGTTACCTTTTACAAGGTACTTGTTAGACCCCCCTCCCCCTTTCCAAATTTGGGGTTTCAGTACCCGCATGGGAAACAGTCAAATATGATAAGTCACTTGGCGTGAAAATGAGTTCCATACTCTTAATTTCTTTGTCTTCTTCTTAGCGTTGACTTGCTTTAAACTTTGGTAGACAGTTCTGTTTGTCTACTTCTAGACTTTGGTTTTGTTTCAGAACTTGAATTTTGCATGCAAATCCAATAAGCAGATCGGGCTTTTTTTTTTGGGTATGCAGACTGTTGGTTTCTTGTCTCTAAGGCAGATGCATTCCGACTTGAAATGAGACACCCCAGTTAGTCACCTTTTGCAACTTGCTTGTTAGGGCAGCAGCGCTCTATTCTATCCCCTAAAATGGGCAGAGGAATCTGCACAGTGACCTTAAATTTAATCTGCGCTTCTTGATTTTCTATCATTAGCCAGACAGCAATGAGATTATGGCCCATCTGATGCAAATTAGAGATTTCACAAAGCAAGCTAGGTCCATGTTAGAGAGTATGGAAAAACTTGGTGATCGGGTGAGTGGTCCAGTTTGCCATTATATTAGTACAGTACAGGAAAACCTCGTTAACACAAATTCTAATGGACAGAAAAATTAAAGGGAGGGGGCTCAGATAAATAAATCCTTGCATCGACTACAGTTTTGTTCATGTTAACCGGCTGCTCTTACTAAGCGAGTTTGTGTTAACGCGATTTTGCTGTATATGTAATAGTAGTATCTGTTAGTTAATACAAATCTCACAGTCCTTAACTCTTTAAGAAAATTTGTTTCTTTTGTTCGGACAGCATTCAATTTGCAGTTGAGCTTATATCAAGAGGCTTATAGCACTCACTAAACACAAGCTATGATTTGGAAGTTCAGCAAAGAGGAAAAGAACAACCGAACATTTTCAAGCCTATATATCAGCATCATCATGTAGCAATTTCTTGACAGAATATCGCTCTCATCATGGTCTGCCTGAAAGAAATTGTCTTTGGCCAGCTCTCCTGCCTCGTGCACTTTTCTACCCAAGTTATCACTTATATCATGTGCCCATTTTCATGCTGATCGGCCCCTGAACCTCTTTCCATGTACTATGCTTTACAATATTATTATTTTTCCAACCTGCCTTAACGCTTGATATCTTCTTTCTTCTTCAGCGTTCCGAGCCCTTGAGATTTATTTAGATATTACTAGAATCCATTCATCTTTGTGATCGGCCTTCTCTTTCCAATTTGTGACTCTAAATGTTTTAGATCAGCCTATATATTATTTCTCCAGCGTCTTCTTGGTCTGCCCCTGGTCTACACCTATTAAGTTTTTTAGTTTAGGTAGTGTGTGGCTCTTACCTGCTATTCCCGGCTGGTTTTAATTTTTTCTTACTATATGAAGAAAAGGCAAATGATGAGAATACCCTGTACAGATAAAAATAAAAAGTAAGGAAGATGTCTTGAAAGATAACAACTCACGAAGAGAACTGATTTCCCACTTCAGAAAGAGACAAATCTCCATTCTTTAGTCATGTCACGAGGAGAAAATTGGAGTACATTGTAACAGTGAAATAGTTTTGAGGGGAAAAAAGGCAGAGACAGAGAGAAGATGCAGGACAGTTTGACATCATGGCATGGAAAATCTTCTGTGTCAGAACTGATTGAAATACATGAGACAGAAGGTTGTGGATAGACATGACTACCAACGTTTGAAATACATGAGACAGAAGGTTGTGGATAGACATGACTACCAACGCTACACAGCATGGACTAAAAGAAGAAGAAGATATTAAGATTGTTGCCAGTGGTTTTTGGAGGTTGAGTATGTCTTATCAGCCTGCCCATATTTTACAAGTCGGAAAATGGAGGTCTTATCAACAGGAGCGATCTTTCAAGATAAACTGTAGGGTAGTAATGAAGACGGCAAATGCATTGTATAGTTTGTGACTCATGCTGTTATAGACTCTGCAAACTCCCAGAGGGTTCCAGAGCCACATGTTGTGAGAAGAAAGAATAGACCCATAACAACCCTCTTTTCCATACCAAGCATGTAGTAAAAGGCGAGTAATTAATGGTGTTTCCTTAGAAGTCAGAGTGCAACTGCCAAAGAGGCAAGCAACCAGCAGTCTGCATTCGACTGAGCAACATCTAAAAAACGAATTTGCACTCAAAATTCAAGTTCTGGAACAAAACCAAAGTCTAGAAATCGATGAAGAGCCAGAACTTTGAGTTTTACAGCTGGTTAGCGCTAAGAAAAAGACAAAGATATGGCGAACGATTGCTGAAGAAGATGAGGAAGGTAGTTGAGATGAGTTAGCACATTACCATGCCCACAGTTGAATGCTTTTTCTTTTCCAGAAGTCAAAATCCTCATAAACATTTTGGAAAACCAACACAGGTTGTAACCATGAAAATGATTTTCTCAAACACCGGATCATAACAGATCAAGTCACAGTTTTGCGCCTACGCACTGCAAACTTAGCAAACACTAATAATCTAAATTAGGTATGAATGAGCCAGACAGCTGTCTGTCAGTGTCTTCGGGTTGAACAGAATATGTCTTGCAAGATTGTCTTTTCCTGGCGGAGCTGTGAAGCAACATGTGGCCACATCCAGTAGACCTGCCAACTAAGCTTTGGGGAAACCTAAAGGACCTTGAGATGACATCCCAGTTTATGGCCTACGGTAGATTAAGCCAGAGATGACCGAAGAAGAAGGGGAAGAAAATTGATTTTTAAAAGCATCTTATTATTTGGGTTTTTACTCCTGTTGTAGAAAAAGGCAGAGGACATTGAAAAAGTGCGCAGACTGATCAGAAATTTACAAGAGCAGGAACAAGGATATCAAGGCCTCTTGCAGAATACACTGGTAAGCAAATGGCGGTTTGTGAGTTGTGGAACAGGGGTAGTGTTTAACTTAATTACCAAACAGTGATTTCAAAACAGTTCTTAACATGGACACCTAAATTACATTGAGGCTTTTAAGGTAGGCAGCTTTTTAAAATTGGTTGTTATAATTTTATGTTAAAAAATTGCCCAGTTTTAGAAATTCAGCTTATTTGTGTGCAGACTGTTAGTTCATCACCTCTGAGGCACATGCAGTCTGCCTTATAAGGAAACTTTGATCCTAGGCTGCTGGTTAGGAACCTGTTTCTAGGATAACCACGGTGAGATGTGGATATGTTTGGCCAGTATGAACCCTGACCCTGGGGCACACCATGTGCCTGGTTCAACACCAGTAATTCCTCCGAAGTCGGAGTACATCTGCCGGAGAGGCGGGGAACGAGTACTGCAAACAAATCAGCCAGTAAAACGGATGTACATGCAAAACTCAGATCAAGGTAAAAGCCAAAAGTCCATTTTGGACGAACAACCGTGACTTACCGCCGGAATTCACAGCCGGTGAACAAGAAGAAGAAGAACACCAGTAAGTTCAGTCAGCCAATCAGCGCTGGGAAAAAAAAATTGTCACGTTCAACGAGCATACTCAAAGAGAGAGCTTTAGGTTATAATTGTGGCTAGGCTATGTGAGCCATATAAAATGGCTTACCCTTGCATGCCACCAAGAGCTATGAAAAGGATTCCTGCAGTGTTGATGCGATCAAAGGATACAGACTCAAATACCGGCCTGTCCGGCTACGAAGTCTACAACAAGCAGTAGGGCAACCCGGGAGAATTTGGTGCTGAATGTGTATCTGGCAAGATAGAACAAGATGTATTTAAGAGGATTTATGGAAAACCAGGGGAGTCGCCACGGCTAGATGCTCGCTGTGGATCGGAAGGTTGTGGGTTTGCTCCCTGGGGGAGCCTGACTTTTTTCAGAAGAAATAACACCAGCAAGGCTGGGAAAATTTAGTGTTGAATGTGCAACTGGCAAGAAAGGACAGGATGTATATAAGAGGATGTATGGAAAACCAGGGGGGTCACCGCGGCAGAGCGGCTAGACGCTCGCTGCGCATCGGAAGGTCGTGGGTTCGCTCCCTGACGGAGCCAGACTTTTTTCAAAAATGACCTTGGTTCCCAGGTCGACCTATCCTTGAGTGGGTGCCGAGTGCAGTCCTGGGAAGTAAAGGTGGCTGGCGTGATGATGACCACATAACCCATCTTGTGCTGTTTGATCTATAAAATATAGGTCTAGCCCTATTTGCCTTATACACCTAAAGGCGTGGAAAAGGGTTCTTTCCTTTTTACTTTACTTATGGAAAACCAGTGTGCTATTGGAACAGTCTGTATCTATGCCGTAAGATACTTTCTGTGGAAGACACAGCATCCGTCGGTATGCCAGGTGTGCTATGATTTCACCTCTTAAATCAATTTGTTTGTTAAATATATCTTCCTAATGTTCACCGGCTGTAAACTTTTGACGAAAATTTCTGGTGGTTCGTCTGCTTCTGGACTTTGGTCTTATTCTTGAACTAGGATTTTGCATGCACATCCGTTTTTCAGATCTGGCTGATTTGTGTGCAGACTGTTGATTCCTCACCTCTCAAGCAGATGCACTCTGACTTGGACAGGAACACCCCTGATTAGTTGACTTTTAGGACAAGCTTGTTAAGGGAGCAGTTATTCTTGTTTCCCCTGGAATGGGGGTCGGGAACCCATACAGGGAATAGAATGTATCTATTAACTTGGTTAATTTTTGTGTTATTTTTATTCCATTTGCTTTCTCTTTTTTCATTTGTTGGGTTTTATTTGCCATCGTTACATAGACCCATCATGATGATGAAGGGGATAAAGCTGCGGGATGTGACGACGACGATGATACAGCGATGAAAATGGAGACGAAGTTTGATTCTGATGATGATACTTCTGTTGATTTGGAAGTCCAGACAGAGGAGTCTGATACTACAGTAAGTGTTGGCAATCTGTTGATATGGCTTTGTGCTTGGGGGGAGTTAGATCAGAACCAACAGACAGAAGAGTTTGACACTACAATAAGTGTTGGCAATCTGTTGATATGGCTTTGTGCTTGGGGGGAGTTAGATCAGAACCATGAGACAGAAGAGTTTGACACTACAGTAAGTGTTGGCAATCTGTTGATATGGCTTTGTGCTTGGGGGGAGTTAGATCAGAACCATGAGACAGAAGAGTTTGACACTACAATAAGTGTTGGCAATCTGTTGATATGGCTTTGTGCTTGGGGGGAGTTAGATCAGAACCATGAGACAGAAGAGTTTGACACTACAATAAGTGTTGGCAATCTGTTGATATGGCTTTGTGCTTGGGGCGAGTTAGATCAGAACCATGAGACAGAAGAGTTTGACACTACAGTAAGTGTTATAAGTGTTGGCAATCTGTTGATATGGCTTTGTGCTTGGGGCGAGTTAGATCAGAACCATGAGACAGAAGAGTTTGACACTACAGTAAGTGTTGGCAATCTGTTGATATGGCTTTGTGCTTGGGGGGAGTTAGATCAGAACCATGAGACAGAAGAGTTTGACACTACAATAAGTGTTGGCAATCTGTTGATATGGCTTTGTGCTTGGGGGGAGTTAGATCAGAACCATGAGACAGAAGAGTTTGACACTACAATAAGTGTTGGCAATCTGTTGATATGGCTTTGTGCTTGGGGCGAGTTAGATCAGAACCATGAGACAGAAGAGTTTGACACTACAGTAAGTGTTATAAGTGTTGGCAATCTGTTGATATGGCTTTGTGCTTGGGGCGAGTTAGATCAGAACCATGAGACAGAAGAGTTTGACACTACAGTAAGTGTTATAAGTGTTGGCAATCTGTTGATATGGCTTTGTGCTTGGGGCGAGTTAGATCAGAACCATGAGACAGAAGAGTTTGACACTACAGTAAGTGTTATAAGTGTTGGCAATCTGTTGATATGGCTTTGTGCTTGGGGGGAGTTAGATTAGAACTAACAGACAGAGGAGTCTGACACTACAGTAAGTGTTGGCAATCTGTTGATATGGCTTTGTGCTTGGGGGGAGTTAGATCAGAACCAACAGACAGAGGAGTCTGACACTACAGTAAGTGTTATAAGTGTTGGCAATCTGTTGATATGGCTTTGTGCTTGGGGCGAGTTAAATCAGAACCAACAGACAGAAGAGTCTGACACTACAATAAGTGTTGGCAATCTGTTGATATGGCTTTGTGCTTGGGGGGAGTTAGATCAGAACCATGAGGAGTTGGTTAAAGTATCTCCTGTCTTTACCTCAAAGGTGGCATAAATGTGCTTCACCAGGCTTGACTCCTCGGTCATGCATTCGTGTTAGCGTCAGAAGTTTGCCATCATTCCCCAAACAAGTCTGTACTGCATTGATGGTATCAGCTCTGTCCATGCTTCTTGCAGTTTGCATTGGTTGCATTACTTGCCATCAGGTCAGCTCTTTCATTACCATTTACTCCTGCATGCCCTGTTGTGTAGATCCAGATGATGGAGGTTAACTGACTTCCGAATACTTTCTACCCATTCAGAGTCTAGACTCCCTGTAGCTATTTTTTTAAGCATGTTTATAGTCTGAAATGATTACCGCATGTGTGACTGCTTGTTTTGCTACCCATGCCAATGCTCTGGAAGCAGCAGTTATTTCCATGGTCATGCTTGACGTAGTTGTCTGGTAAGTGCCGCTATCCTCTTTTATTGTTTTCCCCATCCTTTGTGCCGTGTATGCCTATGCTGATCTTGACCCATTCTTCATGGACCCATCTGTGTAAATGATGTCTTCTGGGCGTGAATGCTGATCAGTGAGTGCCCTAATCTCGATGTCTACATTGAAAGGTATCTGACTCCTGCAGTACCTCCCCAGTGTAATGACAACCTTAGACAAGCCATGCATGTCTACTGGTGTATCCGTCCATTCTTTTTTTTGTGACTGATCTCATGTAGGTCACATGCTAGCTGGATTAGATTTTCTGCCTTGGTCATCCAGGAGGAGCCTCTTTTGAGACCCATCCCTTTTATATCGTTGATAGCGCGTGCAGTGGGTGGTTTATGTCTGCTGATATCCTCATGAACGCTGTCACCTGTGCCACTTTATGTCTGGTGGCCCTAGTCGGTAAACCCAGGACATACTGCATGGTGGGGCACGAGGTGTCTTTTGTGCAGCTGAGTATGAGTCTCAGTGCCTCATTTTTTGTTTACCCAGTCCAGTCTTTCTAGCTGGGTTCTGCTGCCAGTGAGGAAGCCCAGACCATAGCTGTAACACTTAGTACAAGTCCTTGATAGATCAGGAAAAGTAGGCATTGTTCAGTGTCAGCATATGCTGTCACTTTCAGTGCCGTCAGACCATTCCTGGCTCTAACTATGACATTGTCTACATGATTCTTATGTGACAAGCATGTCAAAAGTTATACCAAAGTATCTCATTGTGTTCATTCTATCGATGTCTATACCACACATGCTCACGACTGGTGTAGGCGTACTGACAGTGTGGGTATTCAAGGAGAACTATGTTAAGGAAGCCTTTGCTGGCTTCCTGAGTCGGTGTCATGCTGTAGTGTTGTTCTGATTTCATCCCTGTTGTTTCCTCGCCAGTTGTCAGGAACCTTATTCCTGCCTTGAAGACCTGTAGCTCGTTTGTAGGCTATTGACAGACAATCTATCACTACAACACACTAAGCCAAACACTCACAGAGCACACACACCAATCTCTTATGTACACAACAATAAACAGCAGGCAGTTAGCCCCAGAAATGGTGGGCCGAACTATCCTAAACACAGCCGTGAGGACTTTAAAAAATCGCCACTCACTCCCAGGCCATCCCATTCTACTGATAATACCTGGGCCGAACTCACCCATATACGATACAAGCTCTTTTATCTGCCGCTGGACTCCACACCAAGACTGTGGCACATCCATAGGGTGCCGGCCAGTGTGTGAGGACAGATCAAATCGCCAATTACTACAGTAATCCCGCTAACAGAATAATTCCAATACCTAGCGAGCTACCCATATAAATTACTGCCCAAAATCCTACCTCTGTTGAACACTGTACAACACTAATAATACTACTGTCCAGCTAAACACAATATTACACAGCTATCGGTCACTACGCTTAAATTGAAACACACTACGATCTAACGGTCACAAAATAACACGAGTCTAACAGTCTCAGTGTCCAGGCACAGAACTTCCCGTTCGTCGCACTAACTATCGGTTTTATCAGCTGTTGCAGTTTCAGTCACCAGTCAAGGACCTCGTGAATTCGTTAACAGTCAACTCGTTCGGTCACGGCTTTCTGCTGGTCTCTGAGTTACAGATTATGTCACAGTCACTAAGTACAGACACTATCATCTTACATTGTATCCCATACCCACACTGAACTCTAACACCAGTCCACAAAGATATTGTTGACAAATGACATTGTTCTCTGTACCGTTGACTAATAAGAGGAGAACGGGAGACAATGGTCATCCGTGGAATAAGCCTATTTAGACTCTATGGCAAGCCCATTAAGACTTGTTGAGGTTTTGATGCCCACACACTGCATCACATCAACACTATTCTTTGGAAGAGCGCTGCTGCGATAAAGTTGACCCATTTTGTCTCTGTGCATATTCATCATATCATCAGTCTGATGAGCATGTTGTATGGAACGCTGTTGTACTCGTCTTCTAAGTCAGTGGCAGCTGTGGCAGTTTCCCTTCTGCCTGGAAGCCCTCATACATGTTGTAAGCCAATACTGCTTCAAGGACGAAGAGACACTCTGATGAAGGGAAGGCATCGGTACACATGTGGCTCAACCCAAAACATTTTTATGTGAGTGAATACGAAAGCGTGTTGACAAATAGAGAAAGCATATTTAAAAAAAAAACAGCATTATATAGAGAAAAAAAAATGGTGTGCGAGAAGATTCATTGTTGATATAACTTTTTATGGCTGTTTATGAAAAGTCAGAATTTTGACTCTGGATTAGACATTTTGATTAATTACTGACATATTTGTTTTTAATTCGTCTCAGGAGAACTCTCAAGACTTGCGACCTCGCATAGAGAGTAAGCTAGGCATTGGCTCAAGTGACGGAGAAAATGCAGAAGAAAACCCTTACAGATTGCCTGCACGAAAGGCCTCGGAAAATAGATCAGGAAAACCCAACTCCCGTAAAGTAGCAGATCCGGAAAATCGAGGTCTTTTAGGGACGCCAGCTGCGGAGGTAGGCAGCTTTCTGTAGTGTTGTGCAAGTTATTGTAGATGCTTTCGGTCATTAATCATTCTGTTACTTTCACTATATTATTATTTCCCGGCATTGGTTCGGCAGCCCCATTTTTGGGGAGAGAAATTAACAGACCCACTGCCCTAACAGGCATATTGTAAAAGGTGACTAATTAGAGGTTTTTTGTAATGGATGTGTTGTGCCGAAAGGTTTGTGTTACACATCCCAGCTGTAAACCACAACACAATGACTGACTGACTTTCTACCCCACTAGGACATCACACAAGCGATAAACACCCGATGACACAAAGTGCCACCATGTGGATGAGGATCGCCGTGGAGAGGTCCCAGAAACCACGTTCAGACAACTGGCCATATTTATGGCCTACCTATATTGCGGCCCCTGGCAAAAACCAGGGTGGGGCTTCAAATAAAAAAAAAATTTCGTCCTCAAAAGGATGAAACACCTATTGTTAGGCAAGGGTATAATTGACACCACATCACAATGTGCCAAACACCTATTGTTAGGCAAGGGTATAATTGACACCACATCACAATGTGCCAAACACCTTTTTAAAGGCGAACACGGAAGAAGAAGAAGATTAGAATGTTTTTAATGTTTAACACTTACATGGTGTGTCTTAATCGGTTACATTTGTGTGTTTTTGTTTTGAAATTAAAAATTCTCTGCACACTCTGTGTGGCTTTGAATGATAAAGAGTTTAAACCAGACTTGTGATTTAAAGTGGTGGGGTTCAAGTCTAAGTCTGTTCATTTGTTCCTGTTTGTCTAAAAAAAAAATTAAAAGAATAATAAACTTAGACATATTGAATTTTCCAACTGTACGTTTAAGACAGCTGTCATAACAAACAAAAAGTAAAGGTCTTTTTTACGGCAGTGGTGAATTGGGTATGTGATTTCAGACACATTTTGTAGATGAAATAGCACTTAGTTGTGATGTTGGCAGAATCATGATGGCTGCCTTTACTTTCCAAGAAATTACCTTGTGCTCATTTTAAAGTGGGTAGAACAGGAAGCCAAGGTCAGTTCTGGAAAAAAATTAGACTTAATGTGGATTCGAACCCAAAGTCTTCAGATCAGCAGAGGAATGTCTGGCCACTAAGCCACCGCGGCTCCTGCATCTTTCATTGGTCATCTTTAAAGTCGTTCCTCTAACCTACTTGAAAAAAAGAAATAGTCAGACCTAAAAAAAAAATGGAGATGGAAGTTAGAGAGGCAGTGGAGAACAATATAGAAAGTACACTGAAGGAACTGCAAGAGATATAAAAGGACAGGAGGGTTTGGTGTAAGTTGTTTACCAACTTTTGCCCCACAAACAACTTTCAAAAATAAAGTTGCAGGAACCCTTGGGAATTTGATTTAAAAAAAAAATAATTTTACACGTCACTAATATTTAAAAAACAAATGTATTTGCATTTATAATTTTTTTTTAGAAACGTATGTTGCATTCCTTGGGACTCAAAGAGTCAAGTTCTAAAGTGTCATAGTATATAAGTTTTTTGAATTCCAACAGGGTGAAGGAGGTGGTCGAGGAGATATAGATGGTGAAGCTGCTTCAGCACGTCACCAGGAACTGCTGTTCGTCCTGAGAGAGAAAGAGCAACAGGTACTTTAAATACCAAAGTTTTAAAACAATGAGCACGCAAATAGTATACAAAGAAATGAGTCCAGTGAACTGTGACTGAAAAAGCTTAATGAAAGGGGGATGGAGAACTACTTGCACAAAACAGACAAATCGTTTTGTCTGGTGCCTTTCTCGACATGAACTACACAGCAGTAACAGAGAGGAAGGTACTTCAGCCACCAGCGACTACCAGGAAGTCACGTGAAAAACTATGAAATAATAGGGAGAGAAAACTGTACAAACAATATACAGCACAATTTATTGCCAGGCATATTTTCCTCTATCTTGTCAGGTGTGATTTTGTCTTCACTATCATCCCAGTATGTGTTCCAGGGTCCCACTGTAGGGAAAACAAGAATAGACCCACTGCCTCCCTGACAAGTATGTCGTAAGAGTAGACTTTTTGGGGGGTTTCTTTCGAAGTCAAAGTGCATCAGCCTGAGAGGCAAGTAACAAACAGTCTGTATACAGATAAGTCAGATCTGTAAAATGGATATGCACACAACACCCAGGTTCTGGAACAAGTCTAAACTCCAGAGGTGGATGAACTACCCGAACTTTCTGCTGGAGTTTACAGCGGTGAACGTGAAGAAGAAGAAAAGATCTTCATTGTCATTTGTATTACTGTTATACAGTGTTGCCACTTTTCTTTGACAAAAAAAACATCCAAATTGGAGTCAAACAAATATCTAAAAACATCTAAATTTGCGTGGAAAACATCTACAGAAAACATCCAAATGGAAAGAGTCACAAATTACATAGCAATTGATATGACTTACCCTAAAGAATCATGTCCTCATCTTTACTGAAGTCTGCCTTACAAGATCCACGGGATAAACTTGGCTTGGATGATGAAGTTTAAGCTTCAGATCCAAAATGACTCTGGTATGCTTTAGCTGTTCCAATTTCTTTTAATATCTAATCAGGGAGCTGATAAGTCTAACAGCCTATTCCTACCTACTCTTATCAGGCCGAATTTTATTGTCAAGATAGCATTTAGGAGGTCAAATTTCATCCTGTTTCTTATGTTAAGATTTGATAAATTCACGTCAAAAACGCCATATAAATGCAAGGTAAAACATCTAAATCTGGATGTAAAACATCCAAAGTGGCAACACTGCTGTTATAACTAGAGTAGCGGCTGGCTAAAAGATTAGGAAAGCGAGGCTGTCATGTGGGAGCTTGCACTAGCACTTTTAACTCTTTGAGTCTCGGGGGGTTTAGCATCAGAGGCCCAAGGGGTGGTAATGCAATTTTTTTTAATTTCATACGAGTAACACATTAAAACGGACCATGCTAATTCAATTGACATACACATACATCAAAGTTACCAGGGATTGTTGAGGAATAACTATAGAATATAGCTACAAAAAATAATTGCGTTAGTAATTAAATATCAGTAAATAAACAGACGGTATGTTTACAAAAATTAGTAAAATGAAATTTTAAAAAATTCCACTTACCACCATGGCACCCAAGGAAAACTGGTTAAAATATATCCAAAATGAATCACAAATGATACATTACTTAGTAATGTAAAAGTCAAATATAAACTCAATCTGTTCATTAGATTTTGTTTTAAAGAATCTTTTGAAGCATCATAACCATGTTATTACATTGAAATCTTCCCTCTTAGCTACAAGCTCTGATGAACCGGCAGGAGCAGTTAAATCTGAGGCGCCGTGAAACAGAAAAGAAGCTCTTAGAAGCACAAACTAGAGATAACCAAGGTAATTTGTTCTTGTAGTTTTCTGATACTTATTTCCCATTCATTTTTCACTGGTTTGTGGTCTTTTTAATCCTACCTTGACATTTTAATTGATTAATTCTATGCAGATATCACAGCTTAGTTGTAAACAGCAACACTACATGCCAGCTGCCCTTTTAAATCTTCTTCTTCTGCGTTCATCCGAAGATGTAACTGCGTTGTGTCTGTTTACAGCATGGCTGCGATATTTGCACCTTTCGGCCAACACATCCGACTTCTGCGGGTTGACCGGCTTTTAGCCTTTCCGGTTGCCTTTTTAAATGAGAACCCAAAAGAAGCAAAAGAAAATAACACAGCATTTGGAAGTTAGAAAGAGCAGGATAAATAGACATCTGCCATGGCCAGTGTTTTTCCTTTTTCTGGCAGATGCACTCCCACTTTGAAGGAAATCCCCCCCCCCCCCCCCCCACTGCCCAGTTAGCCACTTTTTACGGCATGCTTGTTAGGGAGCAGTGTGTCCATTCTTTTCCCCCCCTACAGAGGGGGCCACCAAATAGAAATGACCCTTTACATACTTTGATCACAGTGAACTGGCCAGTCAGTTTCTTCTGCATTTGCGCATAAAAGGGTGGTTGGTATGTTGTGTTGTGGTTTACAGCTAGTATGATATCTGCACCTTTTAGCCTGGCTCATCTAATTTCCGCAAACCCCTAATAAGTCACTTTTTGTGACATGCTTGTTAGGATGTGAGACATCAGTTCTGCCCCCCCCCCCCCCCCCCTCCCGCCGCCACCAAAGGGGGGACCTGGGACCCATACGGGGAGGTCGAGTAGTTTGATCACTGGGCCTATGCTCGAAGAATCCAGCTTTGAATCCCCGATAAGGCAGTGGACATTTTTTATGTCAAGTTTATGGTGACAACACTAACCGTGCTGTTCTAAATCTTGTGACCCAAGACCACTTAGTCCTACACTGCTCTAAAACAGGGCACATATGGGCATTTCTTCCTCTTCTGCGTTCGGCATCAGCCAAGCTAAACATTCAGTCCCGTCTGGGTCATATACAAGGCTGTGTATCAAAGGTTGCCACCGGTTCCCCACAGCTTGCCTTGTAATGTAGCTCTGCTGGGATTAGATAGGGCAGTCCTGCGGTTACATGCTGAGGAGTTGTCTGCTTCTCAGACAGTAAAGACATCATCAGTCAGCTTGTCCTTTACAGAACGTCGCTCTCTTCACGGCACACTTGAAAGTATCACTTTCCCTAGCCAGCTGTCCAGTCCGATGCGCTTTCCGCCAATGCATCTTCAGTGTCTTGTATCCATCTTTGCGGAGGTCGACCCCTGCATCGCTTTCCACAAACTGCATCCTCAATCACCGTCTTTTTCAAGATACCATGACGTTTAATGTGGCCAAAATACTTTAACTTTTAGGACAGGACACTGTTTGTGAGCCAGTTCTCCTTGATTTTTAACTTGTGTAGAAAGTCAGTTTTGTTCTTTTTAAAGACAAGCACCCCAGTAAACAATATTATCTGCGTGCCTGTCTTGTCTTCAGCTCGAGCAGCATTAGTTGCTGTAGCCACCGACCGCCAGATCTTAGAGCAGAAGATAGCCAGCCAGCAGGCGCAAGCAGATGATTCGGAACTCGGGGTCGCCGTCTGGGAGATGAATGGAACTGATGACGAGAGCGGAGCTGTGGGCGAGGACAGGCAGTTGAAGTCAAACATTGTTGGTTACCCAGAATCTGACGATGAGGATAATTCCAAGGTGGGTGATGTGGAGAGTCTTCCCACTGAACTCATGGAGCTGAAAAGGCAGCTGAACTATCTCAGGAATGAGTTTTCTCAGGTAAGAAAAACAATTAGATCTTCTTCTTCATTGTCTGCCCCTAAAATGGGTTTGTCACATGTTGTGGTTTACAGCTAGGAACTTTTGCTCCGGTACCTCGGATTTAAGTAAACTCTTAATTCATCTTTTAGGGCATGCTTGATAGAGGGGCAGTGGGTCTGACCCCCCCCCCCTCTCTCTCTCTCTCTCTCTCTCTCTCTCTATCTCTCTCTCTTCTCTCTCTCTCTCTCTTCTCTCTCTCTCTCTCTCTCCCCTCTCTCCTCCTCCTTCTCTCTTTCCCACCTGGAGAAGCTGTTAGATCAATATACAGACAAGCATCCTGGTTATCAGTTAACAGTGGCAGGATCAATGCACTCGGGACATGCCCCAACTCCCCCGTTATTGTTCCGGGGCACCATTGTGGGGAAAACAAGAATAGACCCGCTGCCTCCCCAAAAGCATGTCGTAAGAGTCAACTAATTGGGGAGCTTCCTTTGAAGTCAGAGTGCATCTGCCGGAGAGGCAAGGAACCAACAGTCTGTATTCAAGAGAATAAGATCTGTAAAACTGATGCACACGCAACACTCAGGTTCTGGAGCTGGACTGCAGTTCAGTAGTGGATGAGCAACCATAACTTTCTGCCAGAGTTTACAGCTGGTGAACATGAAGAAGAAGAAGAAAGATGCCCCAACTGTGTTGACATAAATATTCCCCTACCCTCCACACAGTTAATGCACTCATATAATTGACATCATCATCATGTGCCTTGTCGGTAAGCATTGGAGGTTATGTTTTGCCATTTCACGTGATCACCAGAATCAAGAATCAGGTCAGCGGAGATATCCTGCCCCACCCAAATGATCACACCATCCGTATATATTTATCTCCGTGAGCTTCCCCTACTCTTTCCTATCTTGCCAGCTGTAATCAGTTCTTCTCCTTGAGTCCATACCTTCTCATAACAAGGCCCCCCCCCCCCCCCCCCCCAAAAAAAAGCATCGGAAGTGAATTCAGAGAAGTGTTCAGTTTAAGTCTTGGTTCCTTGTCTGCTCCCTGATATTAGCCCGTCCTCACAGTATGAATGAACAAACAAAATTTATTTTCAAAGTGTCACAAATTGAAGAATGCTTTATTCTACTTACTGTAGATGTAAAGAATGTTCTAATTTCCTTTCTGTGCATATAAAGACTACTTTACTTACTATGGATATAAACAATACTTTACTTACTGTGGATATAAGCAATGCTTTACTTTACTTACTGTTGTATAAAGAATGCTTTACTTACTGTTGTATAAATAATGCTTTACTTTACTTATTGTAGATATAAAGAATGATTTACTTACTGAGGATATAAAGAATGCTTTACTTTACTTATTGTAGATAATAAAAAATGCTTTACTTAAATTACTATGGATATAAAGAATGCTTTACTTTACTTATTGTAGATATAAAGAATGATTTACTTACTGAGGATATAAAGAATGCTTTACTTTACTTATTGTAGATATAAAAAAATGCTTTACTTAAATTACTATGGATATAAAGAATGCTTTACTTTACTTATTGTTGATATAAAGAATGATTTACTTACTGAGGATATAAAGAATGCTTTACTTTACTTATTGTAGATCTAAAGAATGCTTTACTTTACTTATTGTAGATATAAAGAATGCTTTACTTTACTTACTGTAGATATAAAGAATGCTTTACTTTACTTACTGTAGATATAAAGAATGCTTTACTTTACTTACTGTAGATATAAAGAATGCTTTACTTTACTTATTGTAGGTATAAAGAATGCTTTACTTTACTTACTGAGGATATAAAGAATGCTTTACTTACTGGGATTTAAAGAATGCTTTACTTTACTTTACATACTTTCGAAATCATTACTTTACTATCATGGATATAAGGAATTGCATTATAGTTTAAAGGTAATTAATATAGTAATATGTTTCTCAGGCTGGTGAAGCACCCAAAAATGTAGAATCTGAAGAAGGCCGTCAACAGCTGCAGAATAAACTTCAGAAACTGCAGAACAAGAAGTCCCGCATGGATCTGCTGTTGCAGGAATTACGTATGCTCCATTCCCAGCCACTTGAACTTGTGAGAAACAATGGTAAGCTCTTACACAGCTACATGACTGGCACCTTTCCCTCTTTCCAGATGATAATGTTGTACTGCTCTATGAGGAGGCTTGGGTCTTACAGCACATGGTGATGGCAAGTGTGACTTGAGCAAGACCTGCTCAGCGTTAAGAAAAGTCTTCCACGATTATAGCAAGGGATTTCAGGACTGTTGTTTTCAGCATTTGTGTTTGGTGTGCTTCTTCTCAAATGCTCAGCTCTCATCCTTTCTACAATAATTTCTTCCTTCATTCTCATTCCCTTCCTGATGTGCCCCCTCCACACAACACTGTCCATGATATTTTGTTCCCACGGGTCCACCTCAATACCTGTATCATTCATGTCCAGCCTGCACATAGCTACACATAACAGTGAGGATAATGCTTTGTGAATGCTGATGCTTTCCAGGGATAATTTTGTTATTGTTGGCCCTTGTCCCTCTTTCCTGATGACAGTGTGTTATATTGTGCCACAGGGAGGCTTGCGAATCACGACCCATTGTGGTGGTGGGTGTGCTGTCAAAACCCACTCACGTTAAGGAAAAGACTATAGTGCAGAGGTATTATATATATATATATAATAAAGATATATATATATATATATATATATATATATATATATATATATATATATATATATATATATATATATATATATATATAAACAGACAATGTATAGATCGGCACCCACAAAAAGAAGTGGAAAGATACAAGGGCACATTAGACACTAAAAAAATCGAAAGCTATAATTGTAAAGACTACGAGTGCCTAGTTGGTCATGTTCTTAGTACACTTGTTTCCATAGCGAGGCGTACACGCTAATTGGAGGTGACAGGTTGTCGGCAGGTAATTACAGCTTTTGATTTTTATGTTGTCAGTGTGTCTTTCTGTCTTTTTACTTCTTTCTATGAGTGCCAATAAAAACATTGTCTGTTTATATCAAGGGTTCCCCCTCTGTTTATTTATGTGAATGACTATAGTTCAAAGCCTGGGCAGTATGGTAGAGATTATGTGTTGCCCATGGGGCATAATACCTCTCTCGTCCTGCCTTTTTTTCTTCTTTTAAACTCCAAACGAAATGTAACGATTTTACATTTGGTACAGTGCCTTGCTGCAGACGCTGTAGGATCAGAACAGTGCTCTGTCTGGCTCTCAGAGCTTCTTTCCTAGACCAGCTGCCAACCTGGTTTGCTGGGCCATAATATTGAGTTTTAAGGTTGCATTTCCTCATCCTAAGATAAGGCAAATATCCTGCCCAATGTGCTGCCTCTGCCATAAGCCATTGGCACAGTATGAGATGCCATGTTTTACAGGGTTATTAAATTTGAGATTATGCTAGAGGCATTGGAAGCCTCTGTGGTGTAGAGGACAGACACTCGACTCCTGTGGATCCGAGGTACATGAGTTCAAATCTGAATAGAGCTGGACTTTTTTTTTTAAAGACTTAAATGGTCACCAGATATAGTCCTGGAAAGTAAAGGTGGCTGGCATGTTATTGATCACATCACCCACTGATTGCCAGTTGGTCTGTCAAATACAAGTCAAGCCATATATGTCAAATATGTCATAATGCGTGGAAAAAGGTCCTTTACTTTACTTACTAGGGGCATTAACTCTGGGCAATAACTTTAACTGCTTGAGGACATTGATATTAGTAACCAAAAAAACAAATGGATTGTGTTGGTGAATTTACTTTTTGATATTAGCTCGTCTGTAATCACCTCGATTTTATTTTTTGTCTCTTAGAAACAAACCCACAAATCTCTGACCAGCCAGCCGTAGTCAAAAGAGCGACTTCCAATATCTCAGCCAGCCGACCCCAGAAGCCGCCCAGCAGACCTGCATTACCTAACCTGCCGGCAAATACAGGACATTCGACAAAACATCCTGCAAGAACCAGTGAAATCAAGGTGGCGGCGGCGGCGCCACCAGATGAGGCTGATAATGCCAGCTCATCGTTTGCCCAGCAGGAGGATGACTTTGAAGAAGAAGCTGACAATGTGGATCCGGCAGTGGTCCAGGACATGCATGAAAAACTGAGGTATGCATGTTTGTCATGCGGTTGATTGAAGTTAAGTTAATACATTTCGCACGCAGAACTCAAGCTCTGGAACAGAACTAATATCCAGAAGTGGATGAACAACCATAAATTTCTGCCGGAATTTTTCAGTCGGAGAATGTGAAGAAGAAGAGGAGAATCTTAGTCCAGAGATTAGAGATTATATCTATATTTGTTGTACATAAGTAGTACATATAAGGACATATGGTGGTGCTGCTTGTCATTTTGAAGGATGTTTACAGTATTCTAATAATACATGTTGTTGCTTTGTCCCCTTATATTTTGTTATTGATAGCAGGGACTGGGAGAGCTGTGGTGGCAATCTTGGGTTCGAATCAGCATTAGGTCAGATTTGTTTCAAAAACGACTTTGACTTCCATATCAACCCCGTTTCTTCCCATCTTTTTAATTTAACTGTAACTCCATGCCTCTTGCAAGTTCAGGAGGGGGAATAAACCCACTGTCTTTCTAACCAGCATGTTGTAAAAATTGACTAACTAGGGGTGTGTCCCTTGAAGTCAAGTGCATCTTTCTGAGTGGCAAGGAGCCAACAGTCTGCATACAAGTAAGCCAGATCTGTAAAACTGATGTGCAAATAAAACTCAAGTTCTGGAACAGGACTAAAATCCAGAAGTGGACAAACAACCAGAATTTTCCGCCAGAGTTTTAAGCCAGTGAACGCGAAGGAGAAGAAAGTAAATTATATCAAGTTTATAGAGGTTTTGGTTATTTATAGTGACATTTTGAGAAACGTTTATTTTATTTTATATCAGTGTGTTTTACAGAATGTTGCTCCCACCACAGCCTGCATGAAAACAAACTGAGACCCTTGCCACCTTCATGCTGGTCTACCCCTGCCTCTCTTACCTGATAGCTTTCCACTTCTGTTCTTCCTCAGCCATCTATAATATGTGAACTGTGTATTATAAACAAATACATTTTGTTTTATTGTCAGGCGTTTGAAAGAGGTTCGAGGCCAGCTGGATCAACTGAGAAGTCTTGTTCAGTACTATCAAGGCCAGAAAGATGAGACTGAAGAGACAGATGTTGGTGTTGACTCGCCGGCATTGCCAGGATTTAGTGACAATGCATTGTAAGTGTACATTTTTTGTTTATCATCATCGTGTGCAATACCAAGTGTAGGAGGACTTTATTTACTTTCTGGCATCTTAGATCAGTTCTGTGTTTTTGTCCAGATCATTCCATTTGGCCAGGCTATCCAGGTTTTTGTTGTTGTTTGTCTTCTATCTCTGCTCCACTGAGTCAAATAATTAGGTGCCTTTCCTTTGAAAGGTGAGAAACCAAAAGTCTCTATACAAATAAGCCAGATCTTTAAAGCGGATATGCAGGCAAAACTAAAGTTCTGGAACAAGATCAAAGCCTAGAAGTGGACGGACAATAGAAACTTACTGCCATAGTTTACAGGCGATAAACACTAAGAAAAAGAAGAAGACGAAGAAGAAGACATACCATTTAATTCTTTCTTGTATGTCCAGACACCAGTGAATAAATGTTGGTGTTCATTAACCATATTTTAGTTCTTCTTCTTCGTAATGCCAGTGTGCCAGGTTCAATACCAGCTGTGGGCGATTTGGCAGCAGAACTTATTGCGCTGGTTTTGACAGTGGTACAGAAAGCTGACTATTCAGAAAGCAGTGGTAAACTACAGAAATAAAATTTGTCTAGAAAAACTACAACAGCAAAAAAACAAAAACAAAACTGGGGTTGGCTCTGAAAAGTTTGGTAATGGATACACTACTTTTTATATATAGTTGTTCATGGTTCAGATGATTAAGTACTGATTTCAAAGTCTTAGTCTTGCTTATCATAAAAGAGAAATTAGTTATGATTATAAAATCATCCTTGTCAGAAATGTCAGAAATGATTATCTATATAAATGCAGGCACAGAAAGGCTGGCTCAGAAGTTAGAAGCAGTCAGACATCACTTCAGCAGCAGGCACTGAAGCAGCAGCAGCAGCAGCAGCAAGTTCAAGTGGTGGCAAAGCTGAAAACCCAGCAGCACAGACGACAGGCTAGGGAAAGTGAAATGACTGTCACAGCATCTTTACCTACTGCAGTCCAGCACCCAAATCTTGCAGGTAACATTTTGTAACCCTTGTTTTGTTTGCCATAATGTTTCATTGTTTGCATTTGTGTGGTTTTAGTTGTTTTGTTAATACAATTTCCCCTTGTGGGTTCACGGGCACCTATTATAGGGAAAACAAGAATAGACCCACTGCCTACCCAAAAGCATGCATGTCGTAAGAATCAACTAATTGGGAGCTTTCTTCAAAGTGGGAGTGCATCTGCCTGAGAGGCAAGTAACCAGCAGTCTGCATACAAATGAGTCTGATCTGTCAAACAAAAAGGAGGATCTGAGCACCTATGGACATGTCCGGAGTGCAATGATGATAACCCAACTAAGTAACTAAATGTCTAGTTTGAGAATGGAAGTGGAGGCAGTCTCTGCTGCCTTCCGCTGGCTTGAGAATCAGCTGTGCACACATGCCGTGATTGTTTCTGACTCACAGAGCATGTTGAGAAAGGTGAAAACAGGCATGCTTCGTGCAGAGTGGCAAGCATCACTTCAGCAGTCCTGGGTACTTAGCATCCTTTGGATATTTTCTCCAGGTCATGCTGGTGTGTTGGGAAATGAACAGGCAGATTGGCTGGCTCTTCACCACTTGGTGGTGAATTGATGTATGACAAGTTAGATATTGTGAGGGCCCATTGGGAGCATGCAAACAGTGCGGAGGCGCAGATAGATCATTATGGTCTACGGAGAATGTCCCTGCGAGGACTTACCAGGGGATCTGGCTGACGCTCAACACTCAGGGGAAGGATGACACGGATATACAATCAGACGGTTACTGGTACCATTGGAATTGGAACTCTTTGCTTGCTGCTGAAGATGGGGAATGAGCACTTATGGAGCGTCCAGAGGGCTTTGACATTGATTCTTGATTCAACATTTGAAAACATATTGTCCTGTACATTGAAAAAATACTGTTCTTGTTTTTAATAAACCAGGGACAGACCAGGGTGGTGAGCTCTCAGATGAGGACAATGCATCTGCATCCCAAACAGAATCTCAGTGGTCACACTTGGGTCCCTGGGATGAAGATCCTGAAATACAAGAGAAAGTCAGGTGAGTTTATCATTACTTAGTGGCTCTCCATAGGCTGTAGATCAGGGCTGTTCACCTGGCGGCCTAGCAAGAGGCCAGCGGATCATTGCCTGTTAAATTGTGATAATGGTCTTTTTATGCTAGGGCTTGGGTCTCTGATCCAAGCGATCTACATTTGCAATAGTTAGGCCCAGTGTTGCCCTTTTTCTTTGTCAAAAAACATCCAAAATGGAGTCAAAAATATCTAAGAACATCTAAATTTGCATGGAAAAAATCTAGAAAAAGCATCCAAATGGAAAGTCACAAATTACTTAGCAATTTATATTACTTACCCTTTAGAATCATGTCCTCATCTTCACTGAAGTCTGCCTTACAAGATCCACAGGATAAACTTCGCTTGGATTGAAGTTGAAGCTTCAGATCCCAAATGACTCTGGTATGCTTTAGCTGTTTAAATTTCTTTTAATACCTAATCAGGGAGCTGATAAGTGGAACAGCCTTTTCCTACTCTTATCAGGCGAATTTTACTGTCAAGATAGCATTTAAGAGGTCAAATTTCATCCTGTTTCTTAGTTTAGATTTGATAAATTCACTTAAATGAAAAACATCTAGAAAAACGTCTACCATCTAAATGTCAAAAATGCCATCTAAATGCAAGAAAAACATCTAAATCTGGATGTAAAACATCCAAAGTGGCAACACTGGTTAGGCCCCTGAGTAAACAGTTAAAAAGCCCTGACATAAGAGAATCAAGAGATGAGAAAAAGATGCTGTTGTTGGATAGGAAACACCTTGAGAAAACCTGAGAACAGTATAACTAGAAGGACTTCAAAGTGGAACCCACAAGGGTATAGAAAAAAAAATACATGTAGAAGGGAAATAGAGAGTGAAGATAGGGACAAAGTTGGGGAAGACATGGGGTGATCTACATGCAACAACAGCAAAGGAAAGGATGACTTGATATGACTTTGTTGAGGGCCTATGCTCCATTGGGCGATAAAGGGCAGAAGAAGAAGCAGATGACGTAAGTATTTTCTGTTTCTTCACATACCACAGCACCTGGTTTTGTGGTCAGTTCTGTTGATGATACTCTTAGGATCTTTGGTTAGCAGTTTCTGTCCCAAACAAGGTATCTGTGACTGGATATCATCCACATGTAGATATATGTTTTCCTCTGCCTGTATGCCAGTCCTGACAAATGGGTGTGAGTCATGATCAATGACATATATGAGAAAAGGTGATCCAAGTGACAAGAAGGGACAGCGTTCACAGCCATACAATATGTCAAGATCTTGAAACCCAGGCCTTACAAACTCGAGTGGATCACGCACAGTTATGATGAGTTGGATATGTATGCAAACTCAGAGAGAATCGCCACTACGGCAGTCATGGGAGGCCAAGAACCTGAGAACCAGACCACCTGGACGACCGAGGGTTAACTGGGAAGGCAACAAATAGAATGGAACAAAGCTAAAAAGAAAACTGCTGATAGAAAAATAGGCCAGATCTGGCTACAAATAGGCCATATCTATCTGTATACAAATAGACCAGATGTATATGGATACACATAAGCTAGATATATCTGGATACACATAAGCCAGATGTTTCTGGGTACACATAAGCCAGATACAGAAAAAAAAACAGGTCTGGATTTTAAAAAGCCAGATCTATCTAATTACAAATAAGCCAGATCTGTATACAAATAAACCACATCTGGATTAAAAAAACCCAGATCTGGATAGTAGGGAGATATCCTCCTTTACCTCCCCTTGGGCACTAGTAGACTGCCCCTGTTAAATGAAACCTCAGTGCCAGACTAACCATATGTTTAAGTGGCAAAAAAAAATCATCTTGATATTTTGAAAGAGGCGAGGGCTTGCAGACAACTTATCACAAACATCACAAAGTCATCATTTTTTGGTCATTTGAGAAGGAAACTGGAACATATTGTGACCACTGGAAAGATCTGTGGGGAAAAAAGAGACAGAATAAAACATTGTGCAAAGATCGTTGACAGCCCTTTGTCATGGCATGGAGGAGTGTTAGCAAACCGACTCATGCTTTTGAAGATCACAGATTGTGAAGAGACAAGGCACTTGATGATGATGATGATAAGAGTGTATTATTATTCCATTACAGGAAGCTGAGATCTGCCAAAGAAAAACTGCGCCAGCTTCAAGATCTGGTTGCCTTTGTCCAGCAGTCTCCAGACACGGTGACCACGGCACCAGAAAACATAGGAGACCTGGCTACAGGCATTGAAGGCAAGGCTGTGTCTCATGCTACACAGACGGATAACCTCAATATGTCTGTGAGTGAGGGAGAGATACCCTCAGAAGCTGTGAGGATTCACTTAAGGTGTGTTGCCACTTCCTTCCCTTCTCTCTTTCTGCCTGTCTTACTGTGTCTGTTTTCTTTGCTGAATTCGGATGTGTTGAACTGAAAGGCACAGATATTAGTGTTTATCTATAAACCATGTCGGCTCTGTGGCTAAGTCGATGCGAACGCTTCATAATGCCGGGTTTGATCCCAGCTGCGGGCCAGCGGGCCATGCTTTGGTTTCGACAGTGTTATCAGGAAAGCCGACCATAAAGATAGCAATGACAAACTACTGGACGTAAATTTGCATAGAAAAACCACACAACAGCCAGGGGCTGTTGAGGTTGGTTCGGCAACGTCCTGTAAAGGATACGTAACTAACCTATAAACCACAGCATGTCGACCACCCTTTTAAGGGTGAATTCAGAAGAAGAAGAAGGCATCAGTTCAACATTTTAGTGATTGACCTTGGTTGTCAAGTTGACTAAGCTTAAAATGTGTACCAGGATAAATGTTGAATGTTGAATTAAGAATCCACATCACAGCACTCAGGACACCCCCATGAGCACTCCGTCCCCATCTTCAGCAGCAAGCGAAGAGTTAAATCCAATGGTACCAGTAACTGTCTGATTGTATATCCGTCTCGCCTTTTTCCTGAGTGTCGAGCATCAGCCAGATCCCCTTGCAACTCCTCGCAGCGCCATTCTTGTCAGACCGTAATGATCGATTTGTGCCTCCGCACTGTTCAATCTCTTCCAAAGAGCCCTCACTATATCCACTATATATTGTCATACATCAGTTCACCACCAAGTGGTGCAGAACCGGAAATTTTATCTGCCTGCTCATTTCCCAACACACGGGCATAACCTGGAGAAAACATTCAAAGAATGCTTACTAAACCAGGATATATTCTGGGTACTAAATGTTTCCGGCCGGATGTTTACCATGACCCCATTACCCAGCAAGTACTGTGGTGTGTTTCAGAAGGCATACCCTCACACTTAAACAGATTTCTAAAAAACTCCTGTACGGATCAATACGAATTGTGCATATGGCCTTAGATTTTCTGCGTCCTTATGATTTTATAATTTAGAATTGCACAGGTGCTGCTTTTTTCTTATAGCGGCAGATTTGTTAGATTTTTGACAAATAATTTGTGTACACCTAAAAAAAGAATATATAGTAATTGAACACATACTGGGAAATCATTTCACATGTGCAACGATGTGTAATGATTATTATGATAGCCTGGTCAGCAAAGAATGAAAATTCCACAATTTACAAGAGCCTAATTTTGGAGGTGACTCCTATGCAACATGAACAGTTAGGTGTTTTGAAAAGTTTCCATTTACACTTAACAGTAAGCGTGCTGATTACTTTGAATCGATGTCTTTTTTTTTTTCATTTACCACAAATAAAGCAAAATGAAAACTAGATAGATGTTTACATTTAAAAAACTAATTTTTACAAGGATGTCATTATTACCACAGGTTTTGTGGCAAATTTCAACAACTTACACTGAACGGTTACTGAGTTTTTTAAAGTTGTCCACAACTTTTGGAACAGACAATTGGTCTCTATCATATGGGTCCAGCACCACATGTCTAGTGGCGTAAAGAGAATGTTTCTGCCTTCTTCAGCATTCCCAACCCTCCAGGTTCATTGCTGCAGGTTTCACCCGCCTCCATCATGTCTGTGATTGGCCATTTCCGACTGGTGACTGCAGGTGTTTTTAAGACTGCCTGTATATTATGTCATTGTCTTCTTGGGCTGTCTCCTGGTCTAACCCACCATTGAACCAAAGAGTGTCTGCAGTTTAAAGGGTGCTTAACTGAAAGAAAAAAAACCACCTTATAGTTGTTATACAAAACATTTTTTGCAACAGGGACGGATTAAATGAGAACTCCAGAGCAGAAGTGTTGATGCTGCAGAAGGAGAGGTCCATGCTGTTGGAGATCCAAAACCAGCTAAAGAACATGCACCATCAGGTAGAGCCTTGCTGTTTCAACTTTATTTATTAGCTCTTTGATTACCAGCTGAAGAACATGCACCATCAGGTAGAGCCATCATGTTTCACATTTATTTAGTAACTCTTTGATTACCAGCTGAGAACATGTACCATTAGGTAGAGCCATCATGTTTCACATTTATAGTAGTAACTCTTTGATTACCAGCTGAGAACATGCACCATCAGGTAGAGCCATCATGTTTCACATTTATTTAGTAACTCTTTGATTACCAGCTGAGAACATGTACCATTAGGTAGAGCCATCATGTTTCACATTTATAGTAGTAACTCTTTGATTACCAGCTGAGAACATGCACCATCAGGTAGAGCCATCATGTTTCACATTTATTTTTTTATTAGCTCTTTGATTACCAGCTGAAGAACATGCACCATCAGGTAGAGCCATGCTTTTTCACATTTACTTAGTAACTCTTTGATTACCAGCTGAGAACATGTACCATTAGGTAGAGCCATGCTGTTTCACATTTATTTATTTGTTAGCTCTTTGATTACCAACTGAAAGAACATGTACCATCAGTAGGGTTATGCTTTTTCACATTCATTTAGTTACTCTTTGATTACCAGCTGAAGAACATGCACTGTCAGTTAGAACCATGCTGTTTCACATTTATTTTTGAGCTGTTTAATTACGAGAATATTTTGCTAGACATTCCTAAAAGTAGTAATAGTTACGGTGAATATAAACAATGATAACCTGACAGTCACAAATCTGGCAACACATATACCTGGTTAGGACATTAAAATAACTAGCCAGGTTTCTGTAGCATCCTTAGGCTAAACATCAGATTACATTTTTGGTTGCTTGGTGCACATGGGCAATAGATGATCACACATAGTGCGCTGGTAAAGACTGAAACATGTTTTTGAAGAAAACATTTTATATTTGGTTCTTTTCTGTTCAGCAGATTTGAAAAAAAAAAAAAAAAATAGAAGAAAGAAGTGTTGAATTATGTTTGTTTTATGTGTTTGCTGCAAAACTGTAATATATGCAATTTTTGTTTACTCAGTCCTACTTTATGGCACAGAAATAATGCAGATGTGTGTCACCAGCCCCGGTTTTATACATCACGTCCTTTGCTTGCCCAAGACTTATCAGCACTTCTGCGAGGTCATTCTAGAAACAGGTTCCCTATTTGGGATCTGGCCAGTTTAGATAAGACAACATTGTCTATGAAGTCAGAACGGATCTGCCTGAGCTGTAAGGAGCCAGCAGTCCACAAGCTTCTTCTTAGCATTCACAGGCGGTAAACACTGGCGGATAGTTCTGGTTTGTTTGTCCACTCCTGCCTGGACTTTTGTCTGGATCCAGAACTTGACTTTTATGTGCACATCCATTTTACAGATCTGGCTTATTGGTATGCAGTCTGTTGGTTGCTTGTCTCTCAGGCAGATGCAATCCGACTTTGAAGAAAACAACTCTAATTACCCCCTGCCCCCTCCTCCCATGACATGCTTGTTAGAAGGCCAGTGGGTCTACATTTTGTTCTCCAAGATGTAGCCCGGGAACCCACATGGGGACTTCTGCATACAGTAAGCCAGTCATATTTTAATTGTTGTCTTTTATATGTTCTTAGACGCCCAGTGCTCAAGGAAGGGAAAGACAAGAAAGTACAAACAAAGATGTGGGGAAACCAGATTTGGAACAGGTACCTAGTGGGACTGTAGTCACATGTAAGTATATTCATTCACAAATATGTGTATGAGGTTTATGTATGTGTATCTACTCATTCACTCATATACAGTAATTGAACACATACTGGGAAATCATTTCACATGTGCAGTGATTTGAAATAATTATTTTGATAGCCTGTCCAGCATATAATGTGTATATAATATGTATATACAAGTGTTATGTGTAAGGGTATGCACTTATTCACATATACATGTATGGGGTTATGTGTAAGTGTATCCACTCATTTAACTGTATTTCATGTTTTAGTTAATTGATGTTATGATGATAGTTGATTGCACTTCTTGTTCGTATAATTGACATAATAATAGAGTTGGTTTTACTTCCTATTTCAGTTAATTGACATAATAATGAGAGTTGGTTATGCTTCCTATTTAAGTTAATTGACATAATAATGAGAGTTGGTTATACTTCCTATTTCAGTTAATTTACATGATAATGACAGTTGGTTATACTTCCCATTTCAGTTAATTGACGTTACAATGAGAGTTGATTGTTTCCTATTTCAGTTAATTGACATTACAATGAAAGTTGTTTATACTTCCCATTTCAGTTGCTTCCAATGATGAATTGTATAGCAAAATGAGACGCCAGCGTATGCTGCGCGAGGAGCTGAGGTCTAAAAAGAAAGAGTTGGAAGCTATCATGAAGAAGGACAGAAACAAGAGGCAGTATTCCCGCAATCAAGACAATCAGAGTGACACCATCTCTTTGAACACCGACGCTTTTGGGTGAGTCATTGCCTGGGTGTCACTGTGGTAGTCCACCTGGCTGTGGTTATGGGTGAGCAATTGCCTGGGTGTCACTGTGGTAGTCTTCTACCTCTGTTGCAGTTATGGGGGACTGAAGTATTATTCTTTTTAAGATGCTGTACTGGGTAGTCTTTTTAATCCTTGGGGGGAGGGGGAATGTTCTGTTTATTCGTCCACTTCTGGACACAAAATGTATCCCCATTTTGGAGGGAAAAAAGGTGAAGAATAGACCTACTCTCCTTCTCCCCCCCCCCCCCCCCCCCCCCCCAACAAGCATTTCATGAAAATAAACCATTAGGGGTATTTCTTTATAAATTGGAGGACATCTACCTGGGAGGTGAGGAATCAACAGTCTGCTACAAACAAGCCAGATCTGTACAACAGATATTCATGCAGAACTGAATTCTGGAACATGATTAAAGTCCAGAAGTGGAGGGAATCTGGAGCAAGGATCTTTCTCCCTTTTACTTTCTCCACCTTCCTTCCCTTCCTCCTATTTTAAATTTTATTTTTCACTTTTATATTTCCTTGTATTGCATCTGCTGCATCTATGGCTTATTTAGCTCTTTGGCTTAGAGGTTAGTAAACACATTTCACGATTCTCAGCACACCAGGGTTCGATTTTCACTGTGGGCAGTTGGGAAAGTTTGTATGGCTTTTATACAGTGGTACAAGAGTTGGCACCATGGAAGAGATTAGGTACAACCTCATTAAAGAGAGCTGTGGATGCATATGTCCACTGTAGGCTGCCTCAACAGTCTGCCACTGGAGTTGCGGTAAATTCAGTTCATTGGCGTTGAAAGCAGCAGCAGCCAGCGCCAACCAGTTGTTGCACATGCATTTCTGCGTAAGGCATACCGTCAGTTCTCTGGCAACTAGCCACCCTTTATTTTCTGAATGTAGGTTGATCCACAATGTGAGCAGTCAGCCTCCTGTTCCAAAACCTGACATTTCTCTTTACCCACCCCCCCCCCCCCCCCCCCCCCATCCCCCTTAAATTTGGTTTGCTTGTTGATGTTATTCTTTTCACCTCTTCTTCTTCTTCTTCTTCTTCTTCTTCTTCTTCTTCTTCTTCTTCTTCTTCTTCTTCTTCTTCTTCTTCTTCTTCTTCTTCTTCTTCTTCTTCTTCTTCTTCTTTTTCTTCTTCATCTTCTTTTTCTTCTTCATCTTCTTTTTCTTCTTCTCCTCCCCCCTCCTCTTTCCCCTCTTCCCCCTCCTCCTCCTCTTCCCCCTCTTGTTGTTCTTCTTCTCCTGTTGCTGCTCCTCCTCCTCCTTTACTTGTGTTTGCCCTCAAGAGGACACTTGGTACATAGTTTATAGTTAGGATATGATATTTGTATATCTGAGCTCAAAACACCTGATTTAAGCAAATCCCTAATTAAGTTACCTTGTACAACATGCTTGTTAGGAACATTGCTCCCCCCTCTCCCCTCCCCCAGTGAGGCCTTGGGACCCACATAGGAGATCTCCTGTCACTGGGTTCAAGAGAATTCCTTAGGACCAGGAACACCCTTCTCCCATATTGTGTTTTCTGTTCCCAAAATGGAAATGTCTTGATACATTTAACTTTTAGTGCAACATGATATATGTTACTGTTCCCACTGTTTAGGGCACCAGCCAGCATTGATGCTACCATGGCCACCTGGGGTGGTTCAACTGTAGATAACCTGGAAAATATCACAGAAGATGATTGCAGGCAGGAAAGGGGTGATCGTGATGATGGGAATGAGGAGGATGAGGACGATGGTTAGTTTTCCATGTGTGATTAAAGGATTTGCATTTATAGATATGCTGTGGCATTTTTGTTGTTGCTTAACACATCCGTGGGGGTCCTAGGCTCCAGTTTATGGGGGGGTGGGGGGGAAGAGAATAGACCAGTGACATCCCTATCTGGCATGTCTGTCTTAAAAAGCAACTAATTTGTGATTTGTGTTCCCTCTCAAGTGGGAGCACATCTGACTGAAAGGCGAGGAACCAGCAGTCTGTATACAAATAAGCAGATCAGCACAGCTAAAGTTCTTGAACAAAACCAAAGTCCAGAAAGGGACAAACAACCAGAAATTTCTGCTGGAGTTAGCAGCCGCGAACACAAAGAAGACAATACACATGCACGTACACAGTTTTAGGCATTCTGTATATGACATTTAATACAACTATACGTACGCATATGCGAAACACAGAGTGTTGTAAGTATAATTCCCTGTGGGGGCTCCTGTGTCCTATTTGGTAGTGGAGGGGGGGGGGGGGGGGGAGAGGTGGTTGGGTGGAAGAATAAACTCACAGACTCCTAAAACAAGAATGTTGTAAAAGGGGACTGATGAAAGGTTTGCTGAAATCAGATGTGTTGACCTGATTGATTGGCTCATATTTTGCAGCATATAGCAGCTACATGCACATGTTTCTCTGTCAGTAGACCGTACAGAAGAGTGCAGATTGAAGATCAGCAATTTCTTGATTAATCATAATTAATTTTCTTTATTTATAATTAGAGATTGATACTTTTTTTAATTAAATATGATTAGAGATGGACACTTTATTCATCGTAATTATAGGTTTATTCACAATTGAAAATGGACACTTTCTATATTTATCACACTTTAAGATGGGCATTTTCTCTAGTCTTCTTCTTCTGCCTTTCTATCCCCCAATGGAGCATAGGCCCTCAACCAACTCACGCCAAGTCGTTCTATCCTTCACCATTACATGGAGCTCTCCCCATGTCCTCCCAATCTTTCTAACCTCGTTCTCCAGCTCTCTTCTCCATGTGTTTTTTGGCCTTCCTTTATTCCTATGCCCCAGTGGGTTCCAATGCAAAGACATTCTAGTTATGCTGTTCTCCTGTTTTCTCAGTGTGTGCCCTATCCAACACCAGCGTCTTTTCCTCACTTCCTGATCCACTGGAGCCTGTTTAGTTCTCTCCCAAAGTTCTACATTAGTTATTCTATCATACCATTTTATTCCCTCTATTCTGCGCAGGCACCAGTTAATGAATGTCTGTAATTTATTAGTAATTGCCTTGGTTGTTCTCCATGTTTCCGCCCCATACAATAGTACTGATTTGACATTAGAATTAAAAATTTTTAGTTTAGTATTTCTTTTAATTTCTTTTGACCTCCACAAATTCCCTACTGCTATAAAAGCCCCTCTTGCCTTTTGTATTCTTATTTTAATATCTCTGTCAGTTCCTCCATCTTTATCTACATTACTGCCTAAATAGGTGTACATTTCCTCTAGTAATCACAGTTAAAGATTCACACTTTCTCTAGTAATAACAGTTACAGATGAGCATTTCCTCTAGTGATCATTTACAGATTGGCACTTTCTCTAGTAATGAGTGTTAAAGATTCACACTTCTCTAGTAATCACAGTTATAGATGTACACTTTCTCTAGTAATCAGTGTTAATGATTCACACTTTCTCTAGTAATCAAGTTTACCCATAGACACTTTCTCTGGTAATCACAGTTAAAGATTGACACTTTTTCTAGTAATCACAGTTACAGATTAGCACTTTCTTTAGTAATCACAGTTACAGATTAGCACTTTCTCTAGTAATCACAGTTACAGATTAGCACTTTCTCTAGTAATCACAGTTACAGATTAGCACTTTCTCTAGTAATCACAGTTACAGATTGTCACTTTCTCTAGTAATCACAGTTACAGATTGTCACTTTCTATATTATCACATTTAAAGATTAGTACTTTCTCTCGTAATCACAGTTACAGATTAGCACTTTCCCTAGTAATCGCAGTTACAGATTAGCACTTTCTCTAGTAATCAGTTACAAATCAGCACTTTCTCTAGTAATCACAATTACAGATGAGTACTTTCTCTAGTAATCACAGTTAAAGATTGACATTTTCTGTATTTATCACATTTAAAGATTAGTACTTTCTCTAGTAATCAAAGTTACAGATTAGCACTCTGTGTAGTAATCACACTTAAAGATTAGCATTCTGTCTATTATTCATGATAAAAAATGGACACTTTCTATGTTAACTGCAGGTTACCCAAGTGATGGGATAGTTCAGGTTGAGGAAGAAGAGGAAGAAAATGAAAGTGACGATGGCACATACACAATTGAGAGAGATGCCAGACAAAGAAAGATTGTAAGAAACGATGGGAACCAGAGTCAAGGCGCTCGCCCTAAAACTTCCAGAGGCAGGCAGACTTACGTGCAGCCTACACACAGAGATACAAGTAAGTTTATAGGGCACGTAATAGAAACAGAATAGTAACACTATATTCAATGTTGGCTTAAGAATCAACATACACAGCACTTGGGATATTTCCATAAGTGCTCCATCCCTGTCTGGAGCAGCAGGCACAGAGTTTCAGTTCCTATGGCAGCAGTAACAGTCTGTTTGTATGATCCATCTCGCCTTTCTTTTGAGTGTTGAGCGTCAGCCAGATCGCTCCTCAAAGCTCCATTTTCCTCGGACTGTGATGATCTGTTTATGCCTCCTCACTAATAAAATAAAATATCCAAATGTTGCTAACTATCTGGAACTTCTGAAGTGGTGCTTGCCACTCTGCACAGAGCATGCCTGTCTCCACCTTTTTTCAACATGCTCTGTGAGTAAATTACAGTTAGGACATTTGTGCAGTTGGTTCTCAAGCCATTGGAAGGCTGCAGTTACAGTAACACTGTAATGCAGTTACAGTAACACTGTAACCTGCATTCAAGCTGCCGTGGTGTAGCGGCTAGACGCTTACCTCTAAATCCGAAGGTCATGGGTTCAAATCCAGACGGTGCTGGTTTTTTTAAAATTCTTCAACAATGACTTTGGCTACCAGGTTGACAATTTTACATAGGTACCAGGGAAAGGTCTTTGGAAGTAAAGGTGGACGGCATAATGTCGACCACATCACCCACTAAATGCTGATTGGTTTTTAAAATATAGGTCTAGCCGTGTATGCCCGGTAATTTTTCTTACAAAAAAATTTAAAAAGAGTTGTCTCATCTTTTAGGCAATGGGGACCCCATTTTGGGGGAGGGGGTGAGGCATAGGCCCACTGCTGTCTAACAAGCATACCATGAAAGGATCTAATTAAGGGTTTGCTGAAATCAATGTGTTGGTTGGCCCGGAAGGCACAGATATCGCAGCCTAGTTGTAAACAAGAACATGCCCACTGACCTTTAAAGAGCGAATGCAAAAGAAGAAGAAGAGCTGGTTAAAAAAGAAAAAGAATCTTCCTGCACCTCAAGATTGAGCTCTGCTTTCTCAGGCAAATATGGGAGTTGATGTTTAGAGGTGTGAGGAAAACCATAATCTGTTTTTGCCTTGCAGGAAATAAAATAAATGCCTACCTTTTTCAGCAGACAAACAAAAGCCTTCAAGACAACAAAGCAGTGGTAAAAACTTCCAGAACCAGAGAGATACCAGATCCAGAGAAGAGGTAAGTAAGTAGCTTCTTGTTGGGCAGAGGTAAGGAAGTAGCTTCTTGTTGGGCAGAGGTAAGGAAGTAGCTTCTTGTTGGGCAGAGGTAAGGAAGTAGCTTCTTGTTGGGCAGAGGTAAGGAAGTAGCTTCTTGTTGGGCAGAGGTAAGGAAGTAGCTTCTTGTTGGGCAGAGGTAAGGAAGTAGCTTCTTGTTGGGCAGAGGTAAGGAAGTAGCTTCTTGTTGGGTAGAGGTAAGGAAGTAGCTTCTTGTTGGGTAGAGGTAAGGAAGTAGCTTCTTGTTGGGTAGAGGTAAGGAAGTAGCTTCTTGTTGGGTAGAGGTAAGGAAGTAGCTTCTTGTTGGGTAGAGGTAAGGAAGTAGCTTCTTGTTGGGCAGAGGTAAGGAAGTAGCTTCTTGTTGGGCAGAGGTAAGGAAGTAGCTTCTTGTTGGGCAGAGGTAAGGAAGTATCTTCTTGTTGGGCAGAGGTAAGGAAGTAGCTTCTTGTTGGGCAGAGGTAAGGAAGTAGCTTCTTGTTGGGCAGAGGTAAGGAAGTAGCTTCTTGTTGGGCAGAGGTAAGGAAGTAGCTTCTTGTTGGGCAGAGGTAAGGAAGTAGCTTCTTGTTGGGCAGAGGTAAGGAAGTAGCTTCTTGTTGGGCAGAGGTAAGGAAGTAGCTTCTTGTTGGGCAGAGGTAAGGAAGTAGCTTCTTGTTGGGCAGAGGTAAGGAAGTATCTTCTTGTTGGGCAGAGGTAAGGAAGTAGCTTCTTGTTGGGCAGAGGTAAGGAAGTATCTTCTTGTTGGGTAGAGGTAAGGAAGTATCTTCTTGTTGGGCAGAGGTAAGGAAGTAGCTTCTTGTTGGGCAGAGGTAAGCAGTGTAGGCATTTATTTGACCTCACAACTGTTGACCCCTGACCCCCTGTAACTTGTTAGTTCAGTGTAGGACAGTTTTTTTCTTTTCCTGCTTCTTAGTATGTTTACCAGATGTTAGATGATGGATTGGCCTGACTGAGATATAGAGGTTAGCTGCCAATGTATTGAATCAGCGACCAGAGACTTCAACATGTGGTCATTGAGAAGATGCCAGTTAGTCAGTGGGACAGCTAGCTTTGTATAATACCTCAAAACTCCATGACATGACCTTTGGTTGGTAAGAGGCGCTGTTGTAAACACCCCCCCCCCCCCCCACCCCCTTCTGCAGGATTCATTAGTTCAGACCAGGGGTCTCCACGTCAAGCGGATTTGAAATTGAGCTCATTTGTAATTGTATTAGTCTGTTATACACCCCCCCTACCCCCAGTGTGGGTTACAGCCGCCTTTACTTTCCTGGACATTTACTGGTACCTGTTTTAGGCTGAGTCGACCAGGGAGTCTAGATAATTTATTTAAAAATATGTCCATCACGGATTCACACCTAGCTTGCTACCTGTGCTGACATTTTAGGCACCTTTCCGTCTTTCCAGATGAACATGTTATATTGTGCAAGCTATAGGAAGGTATGGAAATCACAGCCGAAGCCAACAACGTACGTCTATTTATTTTCTAATTCATGTACTTTGAACATATCAACAGGGAAATACGTTGTCGCTGGAACAGAGGGAGGGTGAAGAATTCTTCCAACAGCCAAACATGGAGTGGTATAGGTCTATTGAAGATAAACTGGCCAGCCTGGGAAATGCTGTGGAAATGTTACTGAGAAAATCTGACGCTGACGGCAGACAACTGAGCGTACCTCTCAGTCAGGGTATGAAGCTTCTTGTGTTGTAACAAGTCTGCTGTTTCTGCTTCACTCTCCTTGTCCTTCTTATCCACCTCCTCTTGGTCTCCTGTAACACCCATCAACATAACCCTTATCAACATAACCCCCCCATCAGCATAACCCCTATTGAAAGATATTAAACCGAACGAAAAGTATATCAGCGAGCTTCACAATATAACATACACAAACAAAACGTGAACTTTGCAGCTATGGAGCCTTCTACAGCCCATAGATAGATTAGACAATACTACACAAATACACATCACTTATCTTCGTATCTTGTGGCAGCCAGGTTGATGTCAAGACATAACCCCCATTAACATAACCCTACATTCCCTGTTCAGTGGAATAGGAATTTTTTTCCCCCTAGTTGCAGCTGGACCTTATCTATGACTTCTCATCCACTATAAGCTAGATGTGGCCAAAGCCCTTTAGAAGTGAGTGGACAACGTGGAAGCACATGGTCTAGAAAGAATAATATGGCAGGGAGTGACCGGGGGATCTGGCCACCACTCAAAACTCGGAGAAAAGACGAGACAGATTTACAGTCAGGTTGTTACTCGTACCAGTGGATGGAATTGGAACTCTGTTCTGGGAGTTAACCCACTGACTACCAGCGTCGCACGTAATGCGACGAGGCGACGTTTACTTCCTTCTACCAACGTCACACCCTTTGCGATTTTAGCTTTGGACGCTCGCCGTCATGTTAAAATCGCGATTTTTATGATGGATTTAGTTGAAACCTCTAGCTTATTAATTTCTGTATGGTTAATTAAGGGAAATAACTTCGTAGTGCTTGAAGTAAATATTTGACGAATTTTTTTAGTTAGCTCCCATGACGGTGAGACATTGATGAAAAATTCATCATGGCGTCAAATTATCGGAACCATCGTGGTGGCCATATCTCTCCTAATTTTTCTAATGATGCATTCGATTTTCTTGATTTTGCTTCAAAAAGTGAATTTGAAGACACTTCTGAACAGTTTGATGGCTATGACTATAATAAATTTAACGAAGTGCCATTCAAAACATCGTTGACTGTAAAACGACAGCATGAAGCTTCGAAGTCAAGTCTGACAAAGACAGTCACAGTGTTGTCGGCTGCAAGTACTGGTGCCGCAGTTTATGATGCTGATAGTTCTTGTAAGAGTATTCAGTCAAAGCCCACAGATTATAAAGATTTTGTGCGTGAGTCTGCACATGACGAAGATATCATTGCCGCTTTTGATTCAGAATCATCATCATCTGACGAGTCCGGGGAAGATGTGCCACGCCCCCCACCCCCCCCCCCCCCCCCCCCCCCCCAACGGTTGATGACTGGCATTGTGATTTAGAAGGCTTTCCTGGAGTACCCCCATTTACTGGCACTTTTGGTTTATTTCTGCCAGCAGGAACAAATGAACCACTGAATATTTTCTTCAGTAAAGAAATTCTGGCTGTGTTTGCTAAAGAAACAAACTGTTTATGCTGAGGCAAAGATTGGTGCGAAACCAGACACCTGTTTTCCCAAGAACAGGAAACACACAACCCTAAATGAAGTAACATGGTTTCTTGTACTGTTGCGTCACATGTGTTGTGAAAAAGGGGTCTATTTCAGACTACCGGAGTCTATATACATCTATCCACTCATCATTTGCTGCCACCATCAAGTCACGGGGGCGTTTTCTATATATTGCTGTCAGATAACAGATTTGTCTGTTGCCTTTTCAGCACCATATCTACAGCCACATGATGATGATATAAAACAGTAAATCTACATATGTCTTGATATTTGTTATCTATTTGATGATGATGATTATGGCAGACAAAGTAAACCCCATTTTTTGTCTTCACATTGTTCTCGGTTCAATTTTGTGCAAAAATACAAAATGTAATATATGTTTGTTGAATATTTTTGAAAAAAAAATCATCACTATCAGTCTTTATTGTTGTCAGATAAAAGATTTTCCGGTTGCCTTTTTTGCACTAATCTACAGCCACATGATGATGATGCAAAACAAAATAAACAACATTTTTTTTTCTTGAAATTTGTTCTTCCTTCAGTTTGGTGCAAAAATACAAAATATTGTGAGATTATATCAAATAGTTGTGAAGCTATGGCATTTTTAGTACACACTAAAATACCTGGTATCTGGGGAAATGCAAGGGTTAATGTGCTTGGTAGTCAGTGGGTTAAGGTACATTTGGAAACAAGACTGGCTTTGTTCGGATTTGAACTCATGACATTCAGATCATTCAGATCTGCAAGTATATATCTACCCACTTCACCATAGTGGCTACCTACCTACCAGTGTGGCTGGAGAATTCCTGGACTTTTCTCAGAATTGACATGTAAGGTAAGGTATGAGATTTCCTTTACTACTGGTATGTGTTCCGGGGCCCTGTAGGTGGGGGGGGGGGGGGGGGGGGGGGGGGGGGGGGGGGGACCCACTGCCGCCTAACCAGCATGTTATAAAAGGCGACTAATTAGTGGTTTGCTGAAGTCAGAAGTGTTGGACTAAAAGATGCGAGCATTGCAACCTAGCTTTAAACCTCAGCACAGCATGCCGCTTTTTTTTTTAAAGAGCAAACACAGATGATGATGAAGAAGATTATAGCTTTATTGACATCTCAGCATGTGGCTCTGAATTTTCTGCCAGCTCAGCCTTTTCTGTGGCTTAATAACATTGACATACATCTCGCCACTCCAGCCCTGGGGCTAAAAAGTTTAATCCCAGTCTCACATTTATACTACCGTACACATCTTAAATAGCTTCAGGATATGCCATCAACGCCAGTACGGCATTAGGCATATACTGCTGGACTCATTTTTTAAATAAGTTGGCAGTCAGGGGGTAATGCCGTCGACATGATGCCAGCCGTATTTACTTCCCAGGACTTTTACCTGATACCAGATTTAGGTTGGGTCAACGTGGGAGCAAAAGTCATTAACAAAAATATTTGACTTGAAGTGTATTTGAAGGTAAGAAAATTGCCCAGCAACAAAAAAATGCAATATATTGTTTGTATCATTATTATTTATCTCTTTAGTCCCAGAAGATCTTGGCAGTTACTAATCAGGGAGTAATGATTGTAACTCCCCGGGGCCCCATTGTGTGGGAAAACAAGAATAGACGCACTACCTCCCTAACAGGCTTATTTCAAAGTCAGAGGACATCTGACTGAAAGACAACGAACGAAGAGTGCATACAAATAAGCCTGATCTGTGAAACGGATGTGCCGGAGTTTACAGCCGGGGAACGCAAGGAAGAAGAATTATTACTATAAAAGTTTTTAATTGTATAACTTTATTTCGTGTCTTGTTACCAAAACTACAAGGTGTAATAACACATTGCATGATGGACTGAAGGGGGAAGAGCTTCTTCTTTTACCTTTCTAACCCCACCTTTCTAATCCCCAGTGGAGCATAGGTCCTTGAACCAGCTCACACCAAGTTGTTTTATCCTTCATTATCGCATGCAACTCTCCCCATGTCCTCCCTATGTTTTTAACTTCACTCTAGCTCCATTCTCCATTTTTTTTGGGGTCTTTATTTCTGTGGGTTCCAGTGCAAAGACATTCTAGTTGTATTGCTCTCAGGTTTTCTCAACATGCGTCCTATCCAGTGCCAGCTTCTTTTCCTCACCTCTTGGTCCACTGGAATTTGTATGGTTCACGGGGAAGAGCTATTCACATATACATCATTATTTGGGACTGAAATAGTTAAATGAAATTATCAACTTGCTTATAAGCATGTTCACTCTTCCTACCAGAGACTGTTCTACAAGGAGGAAACATCATGTCCCCAGTACAGGAGCAGATGCTTCAGCTGCAGAACCAGTCAATGATGTTGAGTTTTGGACACTTGGTCCAGTCGCTGACCCACCAGCAAGGAGACATACAGCAGTTGCAGCAACAGATGCAAGCACTGCAGTTACAGGTAAGCTCTTTTGGTTGGGAGAGCTAAGTCTCTTATTTCTTAGCTTCACAGGCTGTAAATTCCCTTGAAAAGATCTGGTTGTTCATCTACTTCTGGACTTTGATCTTGTTCCTGGGCTTGAGTTTTTGCGTGCATATCCATTTTACAGCTCTGACTGTGGGCACCTCACCTTTCAGACAGACGCACAATGACTGTGAAGGATGCACCCTTAATTAGTTGCCCTCCACCAGATCTTTGTTACACACTGAGTCTGTTATTCTTTCCTCCAAAATGGAGTGAAATTGCTAATGTCTTCTTCTTCTTCTTCGCGTTCACCAGCTGTACACTCTGGCGGATAGTTCTGGTTGCTCGTCCACTACTGAACTGCAGTCCTGCTCCAGAACCTGAGTGTTGCGTGTGCATCAGTTTTACAGATCTCATTCTCTTGAATACAGACTGTTGGTTCCTTGCCTCTCCGGCAGATGCACTCCGACTTTAAAGGAAGCTCCCCAATTAGTCGACTCTTACGACATGCTTTTGGGAAGGCAGTGGGTCTATTCTTGTTTTCCCCACAATGGGGCCCCGGAACCCACACGGGGGACTGCTAATGTATTTTGAATGTTTATTTTTTTGAAAGTGTAGATGAAGAAATTTAACAAAATTGTTAGTGGCCTGTGTTAAATTGTAGTTAAAAAAATTTCTTTACAGAATTTATTTGGGAATTCTTGCCTAAATTGTAATATTTCCGAGGCAAAAGGGTTAAAAATAGAGTAATTTTTTTCTAACTTCTTTACCAGAAAAATTCTGATACTTTTCCAGTGTCCATTTTAGTGTATCTAAAGATACTCCTCCTCCTCCTGCAGGTTCTTCTTCTTTTTCAGCAGCAACAGCATTCTAAGCCCTTGAGGTTCATTGCTGCAGATATCACCCACCTCCATTCATCTCTCTGGTTGTCCTCTATCCAGTTGGTGACACCAAGTGTTTGTAGGTCTGTCTGGACAAAATCTCTTCATCTTCTTCTTCTTGGTCTACGACCATTCAACTCCCTTGTGATTACAGTTTTTACCTCTCGGTCATCTGACATTTTCGATGTGACCCAGCCATTTCAGTCTATTAGCCCTCATGATGCCAGTGGTGATTTAAACAGATTATTAATTTCACTGCTGCTTCTCACTTTCCATTCCCCGCTGTTTGCATCTAGGATGGGTCCAAAGATTTGTTCTAAGACTGTTTTTGAAAATTTGTTATAAGGCTTCATATTTTTTGTTGGGTTGCGCTCCAAGTTTCAGAGCCATATAAAACAACTGGTTTTATCAACGTTTTATATATTTTGATCTTGGTGTTGCGAAGTAGAGACTTTGACTTTAGCAGATGTCGAAGGGCATAGTATACTTTATTTTCAGATTGTATCTGTTTTGTGACGAAATGAAGTTTTTCTAAGGTCTCACACTTGTCGGCCTCACACTTCAATCCCTAATTTGGAAGACCAGGGTGTCTCTCTTTGTCTATTCTCTACCCTTAGACCTTTCCGGCTTGGGAGACCCTGCTACGCTACCACCGGCATAGCTCTCAGGGTCTTTGAGAAACACAGGCTTCCTCATCGCGGCAAGGTGGAGACACCTTCAGGGGATAATGAAACATCTTACACATGAAAAATACAAATTTTCTGCTTGGAATGTATAACACCCTTCATTTTTTTCTTCGACACATGCCTTAAACATGTAATGCTTGTCATGTTGCAGGTCCAAGAAGTCCTCCATGAGTGCAGCTTTCACACGGGCAGTGCAGCTGGAGTTGCTCACCCTCAGCGCTTACACCCACCCTTGTTGAGCTCAGGATTCGGCAGCAATAGCTACAATCTTCAAACTACACCCATAGGCACCCACGGTCTGACCCTTAATCGTCAACAAGCTAGCCCGTTAGCACAGGTAGGACTACATTTTAACGGCACCCTCTGATATTATCGTTGCTGAGTAGATTCTTATGTAGAAAATCTATAGTTTATTCTTAGTGTGGACATTCTGAGTTCAACAGGAATCATTGTACAGCTGGCCTTTATCATCACTGTTTAGTCTATCTGTGGAGATACTTACAGTTGTCTAATATGAACACCCTGTGTGGGTTCTGGGACTCCATGTTGGGGGGGGGGGGGGGGTGAATTAGAAATTAGATTAGATCCACTGTCCCCTTATTATGCAACTTGTAGAAGGCCACTATTAGAGGTTTGCTGAAATCAGATTTTGGGGGCAGAATAACGCAGTTGTCGTAGGCCAGCTGTAAACCACAAAATATATAGCTCGTACCATTTTTAAGGCATAAAAAGAAGATGCTCTACACAGACCAGTGCATGGGGAAAACACAAGGATGTTTATCCTTCATAAAACAAATATCTTCCAGATACACAGCATCTGGGACCTATTCTTCTTCTTCTTCTTCGCGTTCACGAGCTGTAAACTCTGGCGGAAAGTTCTGGCTGCTCATCCACTTCTGGACTGCGTCCTGTTTCAGAACCTAAGTGTTGCATGTGCATCCATTTTACAGATCTGACTCATTTGTATGCAGACTGCTGGTTCCTTGCCTCTCAAGCAAATGCACTCCCAACTTTGAAAGAAGCTCCCAATTAGTCGACTCTTACATGCTTTTGGGTAAGCAGTGGGTCTATTCTTGTTTTCCCTATAATAGGGTCCCGGAACCCACAGGGGGATGGGAGCTGTTGATTTACATATTCCTCTGTTTTATTTTCCAGAGCAATCTAGGCAGCTCTGTCCCACTTGGCATGTTTGGTGATCTGTCAGCACACAGCCCGGGCCTTCGGAGTTTCCAGCCCAACAGCCTCGGCCTTTCTGTAAGCAACCTGTCCTTAGGGTTGGACAGAAGAGCTCCAGGCGGAGGCCCTGGACTGGGGACCAGCCTGAGCGTCAACACAGGGTCCAACTTGTCCTTGCCACAACAAGATGCCGGGATGAGCTTTAGTTCTCTTGGGCAGTCTGCTTTGAACATTCAGAGGTCCCAACAGCATCAAGCATCTCAGACAGCCTCTTCCGTTGGAGCCATGGCAAAAGACTTCCGACAGCTGGTCACTGCTCTGCACTCTTCTGCTCCTCAGGCAGCAGACAGCAGATACGAGAGTTTCAGCAATTTCCCAGAGTCTGCCGGCCATCAGAATCAGAAGGGCGGGGTTGGCAGATTCCCCATTGTCCCATTCCAAGATGGAGACGATGAAGAAACAAGTGTTGATAAACCCATACATAGAACAGCATCAGGTTTCAATGACAACAGGCTTTTCAGCAGGTGAGGCAATGTTTTTGCTTTTCCAGTTCTGGATCTGACTGACTCTCTCTCTCTCTCTCTCTCTCTCTCTCTCTCTCTCTCTCTCTCTCTCTCTCTCTCTCTCTCTCTCTCTCTCTCTCTCTCTCTCTCCCCCTCTCCCTCTCTCTCTCTCTCTCTCTCTCTCTCTCTCTCTCTCTCTCTCTCTCTCTCTCTCTCTCTCTCTCTCTCTCTCTCTCTCTCTCTCTCTCTCTCTCTCTCTCTCTCATTTTGTCCTCATTTTCCATTAGTTTTTGGTAAAGTGGAAAAGGGTGTGGGGGGGGGGGGGGGGAGTAGACCACGAGCCTTGTGTGACATATAATCATACAACAGGGCAGTGAATGAATGAATAAATAATTATAGTTTGTGATTTTTTTCCCCCCTACAGGACATTTGACTTGCCTGTGAAGAAGTCGGACAGTGACCCTACATCAGGTGGGTTCTCTTAGTGTTATAACTGTGAGTCCTCATCATTTGTTGAAGTAGGGTTGACATCCAAAAATCTGACCAAAAAAACTAAGGATTTAAAAAAAAAAAAAAATTCTGACGAATTATTTTATACAGTTGAGCTACAAATTCTTCAGAACTGTTTTAATTAATTGGTGAACATTAAAGTTACAATGCTTGTTATTTAGTGCTTAATTTTTGTTTCTTTTTTAAAGAACTGTACAGGTAGCCATTTGCTGTTTAATATATACTGCATATACAACCACACAAAAATCAGGAATTTTCACAAATATGTCACTCCTCAGTACAAAGGTTGCAGGATTTTTTAATGTTATCCTGAATTTAACATCTGTTTTGAATAGTGCAGTCATTTGCCATTTGTTAGCATAAGGAGGCCGTGTTGGCGCTGTGGCTAATGCACTTTCCTGCCAGTCTGAGTGTCATACGCTCGAAGTCTCATTGAGGATGGTGTTTAAAATTGTTTAGATCAACCCAAGCTTAGTTGGGGGCAAGGAATTTTTCTGGGGAGTGAAGTCATCTGGTGTCTTCTTCTTTCTTCTTAGTGCTGTTCGCTGTTTGTAAACAGTTCTGGCTGTTTGCCCACTTCTGGACTTTGGTCCTGTTCCAGAGCTTTGTGTGCATATCTGTTTCACAGATATGACCCATTTGTATGCATACTGTTGTTTGTTTGCTTGCCTCACAGGCAGATGCCCTCTGACTTTAAAGGAAATACTTTCAATTAGGCGCCTTGTTGGGGGGGGGGGGGGGGGGGGGGGGGGGTCCCCACACCCCGCCTACATGGCTAAAAAAAATTTAAGTGATGGCAGTTTCTAAATAAATAAAGGACTGCAGAAGTCAAAGACAGAAATGACGCACACACTGGCTAAAATGTTTGATCACCTCTGTTTGGTATGGCAGATTCACACTAGATTCCTAACTGGCTAACACTCTCAGGATTATCATTATGCCTCACCCCAGAGGTGTTGTGTTGTGATCTACAGCTAGGCTGTGATGTTTGTTCTTTCCACCCAACACATCTGATCCGAATTAGCCGCCTTTTACAATATGCCTGTCTCCCTTGGCCAGGAATGTGATGGGTTCTTACTCTAGGCCAGGGCTGTTCAGTTGGAGACCCGGGAGCCCAATCTGGCCTGTGATTAGAAAGGATTATCATCACAGCACTCCGAACAGATCCATAGGGAGCCCAATCTGGCCTGCAGAAGCCTAGCATGTGGCTCGCGGATCACGAGCCAGTTGTATTATTTTACCTTCAATGCTCGGCTCAAGACTCTGGTCTGTACCGATCCCCATCTTCAAACACACGGGCCCCTGAGTAAACTTTGTTGAATGGCTCCCAGTTCTAGGTCATGGCTTTATCTCCCAAACCTGTCACCCTTTGAGGTCGTGAACCAGGCATTTCCGACTGGGACTCAGTCACATCAGTGCAGCTCAACTCTTTGGGTACCAGAAAACCGCATTGTGCGCTAATTTATGATTCATTTAAACGTTTGGTTTCGAATGAGGTCACCCACATTTCTGCAATGGCCTGTCCCAACGAATCCTAGTTAGCGGCATTATGTTCTGTTTGCACCCGCACAGTGTTTAGGAGGTTTTAATGTGAATATATTCATTCAAGTGGCAGTTGTGGGTGGAGAGTGTGGGGATTCTTGTGAACAAAATGGTGTTTGATAGCTATTTTGACATCATAATTTGCCTATAGTTAATATTTTGATGGGCAGTCACGGTATGAGTCAGCCCATAACAGTTAAAAAAAAAAAAAAAAAAATTAGGTCCCAAGAAATGTATTCCATTTTATGTTTCACTCTGTTTTTGTTTATGGATACTTCCTTAATATGTTTTAGAAAATGTGTGATTTAGACAAAAATATAGATAAGCAGATAAAAAAAAAATTTGCGTTTTTGTAACATGTAATAAAATTTTATTTTAGAAGTTTCTGCTACTTCTTTTGTCGTCTCACTGTCACCAAGTTGTAGCCCAGTGTCGTGGTTTTGTCTTTGGCTTGTCTTGGGTTTCGTCCATCTCATTAGTATGAAATGTATTTGATCTTTTCTTAACAGGCGTTAAGTTGCCATCATTAGAAGTGGACAGTTTCCACACTGTTGGTAGAAATATTGGTCATCCCAGTAGAGAAAGGTCAACTGCTGCGGGCTTGAGGTCACTTGCTAACACTGCTGCGGATGGTGCTTCTAATTTTACAACTGCTGGCTTAGGGAGCGGCTCAAGCTCCTCGTATGCACAGTTTATCAGGGATAAACATGCACGGCTTCGAAGAGAACAGAAACATGCAAAGTGAGTTACTGTGCTGAAGATATTTGTTTAGCATTTAGTCATTTGTTTTTCTTAATAAAGTACACTTCAAGAAAGAAGTGTGGGAGTTCCGTTGATGCATTTGATTCTTTTGAGGTGTTTACTCAGATTAGCTAAGTTAACGAATTGTGAAGAAGAAGATGGTTTGTGTTTAGTCAGTAAATATATTTAAAATATGGAACAAAATGTTGAAGTAGGCATTATTTAACATAAGTTAAAAAGTTAGTTGTGTATCCTTTACAGCACATTGCAAAACCAACCCTAGCATTTTTTGGCTGTTGTGGTTTTTCTCGGCTGATTTACATCCAGTAGTTTGCTATTGCTTTCTGCATGGTGGGCTTCTCATTAGCACTGTAGATCGAACCTGGCACCTCGGCATTACAAAGCTTGTTTGCAATGCCTAAGCTACAGATGCCGATATAAGAAGTAATGGAAATGTTGCTGAGATATCATTTTGACCAGAACAGTTGCAGAAGATTATCATCATCTAGTGTCTTGCTGACTGGTGTGGGCAATCATGCCTCTACACAATGTGTGATCCACAGCTGTGTGTATTAATTTATGTGTTGACACATCTCCACTTTATGACAAAAGACTGCCAAGAACCTTCTCACACTGTCTTCCTGTGTCTCTTTCACGAATCACTGAGTCATTTGTATAGATGATGATGTCACCTGATCAGATGTGCTCGTGGATGAGGGCCTTTATGTCCGCACCAGTGATATGAGGGTCAGCACCTTAATTGAGATAGGAGCCTTGCCATATAATTTTCTCACAGAGAGCAGTGGATTTGCACATCCACTGCAGCCAGCTGCATTTGTGTAGAGGGGAAACAGTTTTTGTGTGTGTGTGGGTCAGATTTGTTAACATAAGCTTCTCAGATAAGGGCACAAATCTTATGATGAAGCATGTGTTTTTATATGTTTATCTATGTCACACATTCAGTATATTCGTGAGTAGACAAACCTTAGATGTATACAAGTTTAAATTTTATAAAAATGTATATATGTATACTATCTCAGTATATGTGAGAAAGGTCCACAGACAAAACTGGTTGTCACCCAAAAATAACAGTAAATGATGAAAAGTTTAAATTGTCAAAAACTTTAAATGTGTAGGCTCCATAATCAGCCATAATAAACGCAGTGGCCTGTGAGTCCCATGCCTCCTCATAGCGCAATATAACACTATCGCCTGGAAAGACAGAAAGATGCCAGTCATACTAAACAGCAATTTAGTTTAACGGAAGTCATAAGGAGGATGGCCATAGGAATGCAAAGATTAAACAGCGTTAAAAGTCTGTGGTTGAACCCCAGTAAGGAAATCAATGTTAACATTTTGATGGCATGCATCTTACCCGTAGCAAAATACAGATGTGAGTCAGGAAATTTCTCAGTCTTGAAGAAGAAAAACAGGGCTTTAAGCTTCAGTGCTATAGAAAGATTTTTAGCATAGAAGAAAAGAAATGCTGACGTCCTGAAAGATCTGAACATAAGGAAACTGAAATACTCTGGCCGTGTTAAACGCCACGGCGGATTAGAAAAAAATAATAGCAGAAGGTGTGGTACCAGGAAAGAGGGTTGGGGTCCGATGTGTATATAAATAAAACTATTATACCCTAATTATAACCAACCTTTGCATGCTTGAATGGTGTAGATATGTGATCGCAGATCTCAATGGCAATGTGATGAAGCAATTTGTCTGGTCCTTCAAAGATTGTAGGTTTATTTTCGGGTTCTCTTCTTCAGTTCATGAATGAAGGGTGTCTCTGAGGTTGTTGCTGGAGATAAAGAGTTTGTGTTTTATGCAACACTTAAGGCAACCAGCCGCTCTGCCTTATAGGATAAAACTTTATGCTGTTAAGTCATTCTTCTCGCCTTTAAACACTTTAAAATTCCCCCCCCCCTCCCCCCATGTTGGTTCCGGGGCACCATTTTGAGGCTATAAAAGAATATACCTGCTGCCCCTAACAAGCATGTCATAGAAGGCAAATAATTAAGGTGTTTCCTTTGAAGTGAGAGTATCTGCTTGAGAGGTGAGGAACCAACAGTCTGCATGCAAAGGAGTCAGATCTGTAAAACAGATGTACATGCAGACTCAAGTTCTGAAACAAGATCAGAGTTGAGAAGCGGTTAATAACCAGAACTTTCCATTAGAGTTTATAGCCCGGTGAATGATAAGAAGAAGAATAAAATCACTTTGTAGCCATTTATTTTTTCTTTCTTTCAGATCAAATGCCACTGCAGAAAGCAACTCACTTTTCGATACTTTACGTGACACAATCTATGCAGAAGTGGCATCCGTGATCTCTCAAAATGAGGGAAATCCTCACTTCCTGTTGGAGCTGTTTCGAGACATGCGGCATATCGATTCTGACCTCATGAGGCAGAGGGCACTGAACTCACTGCAGCTTCGTGCTGATTGGCTTTTTTTTTTTAAAGCCTAGATGGTAAAGATTACAGGGCCATGTTTTTTTTTAAAGGCTCTTAAGGATATATTCAGTTTAATGCTTCACCATGTGTATTGATTACTGCTTTGATAAATCTTCATATATTTCAAAAAATAGTTTTAAAATGTTGATAAATAAATTTTGAACAAATTAATTAGTGACCTGTGTAAAAATTGTTTTTAGAGATTTTTTTAAGAATCCTAATAGGGTCATAACCCTTTAAAAAAAAAAAAGAGTTCTTGGGATCGAAAAAGTTTAAGTCCAAGCAACACATTATACGTTCATAGGTCCTACCTAGAAGTGAATTATTGCAAGAGTTAACAGATTATATGGTTGCCTTCCCTATAAATGGCTTTATCTGTTACCCATATTAGCCTGGGTTGACCTGGGACACAGGGGCAAGAGGGAAAAGATAACTTTCATGTAGTATGAGTATGCAAAGTGTGAGAAGAAGAAAAACACACTGGTATCCTGCATGATCTGAGCATCAAGGGGAATTGGCTCATAAACAGCATTCTGCCCTGAAAGCTTAGGTATTTTGACCAGGTTAAATGTCTTAATGGCTTGGAGAGAACAGTCATGGAGGGTACAGTTTTCTGAAAAGGGGGCAAAAGGCACCTCTACAAAGGTGAATACAAGAGATCGAAAATCATTGGCTGTGAAAGCACATAGGGCTGGAAAACTGGCTATATTTGAAAGAGACTTTCAGGCATGCTGTGATGAGAGCGACGTGTTCTGAAGTATGAAAAGTTCATATAATAAGGGAATTTGTAGGTGATAAAATCATTGCACACACCTTATTTTTCCATGTATAAAACGAGATGTTTTCCCAGTTTGTGTGCGTATGTGTGTTTGTGTGTGTGTGCGTGCATGTGTGTGTGTGTGTGTGTAAATGCTGGCAGTCTTAAACACAGAATGTAGTTAAAATATTTATTTATTAATTTTGGGCTTTTAAAAAAAAAAGGTGTCATCTTATAAATGGGGGTGTCTTTACATGGATAAATTCTGTAGGTAGGAGAGAAATGACAAGATTTAAGGTAATGAGAGTGTGTTAAAGAAGTTGACGAATTTTCAGAGTTTACCTTTCTGGGGTAATGGTGCATCAAACACTGTCGACAAGGTCAGCTCTGAACAGACACCCAGTGAGAGTGTTAACTCTGAGGAGGAGGAGGACATTAAAGTTGTGAGTATAAGTGCTGAGATTTGTGTTTTGTGTTGAGATGTGTCCGTGTCTGTAACTGTTGTTGATCTGGCCCAATACATCTAACTGTTGTTGCGTTCTGTCATCAGTAACTATTGTCGGGCTGTGCCAGTATCTGTAACTATTGTTGGGCTGTGCCAGTATCTGTAACTATTGTTGGGCTGTGCCAGTATCTGTAACTATTGTTGGGCTGTGCCAGTATCTGTAACTATTATTGCGCTGTGCCAGTATCTGTAAGTTTTGTATGGGTTTGATGAGTATCTGTAACTGTTGTTGGGTTGTGCCAATATCTGTAACCCCAAGTAATATCCAAATTTAAAGGAAAAAAGGGGGAGGGTGAAGGGTGGTGACACACTATGCAGTTGCAAACAGCACCAAAGCTGTTATATGGGCATATTGGCTACTGCTCCAAAATGTCATGGCATCAAAAACCCATAAAAGTAGGAAAACAGGCTTTCTCCGGCCAAAAGGGTCAATACAGCATATCATGATTAATGATTGGGGTTTGGTTAATCAAATTAGCATTTGTGATTTCAATACAATTAAACATTTCTTTCAGGCTCGTTTTCAAGAGGAGGTCTCCGCAGCAGAGAGGACCTGGATGGACAGACTGAGCCAGATCAACACATTTCAGAGTTTTCCTTTCGATTATTCAGATACAACAAATAACCCCCGCTCCTTGTCTTCTTCTACCAATGGCGGGGAAGAATCACCGTTCCTTCAGGTATCACAAGCTGAATGTTTCACATGCTACATTTATTTCATTGGTTTAAGAGAGCACACTTTCAGTTGTATAAGTGATACTTATTTTTTTATTGGTTACGTTGGGTATCTTTTTCTTCTTCTTTGCATTAGGTTTTGTATGTTCAGATTAGACCATCAGGTGGGTTGCCTCTACTGTTTACTGTTGTTTGTTCTCTCCACAATTCCTTGTATTTTCTCTTGATAAATGTTTTGATTTCTGGTAATGTCAATGAAGGGGTGTGTTGTTTCTCCTTTGTTCCAATTTTTGCAAGTCTGTCTGTTAACTCATTTCCTGGTATGCCACATTGAGCTGGGATCCACTGGAGAGAGATTTGTTTTCTAATAGTCTAATTTAGCTGGTGGGTCAGTTCTCTCTCCATGTTGTCTCTCGGAATCTCTGAGTCGCCTGGAGGACTGACATGCAGTCACAAAGGAAAACAATTTTGCTGGTTCACCCCCCCCCCCCCCCCCCCCCCCCCTTTCCTGAAGTTTGTTGAGAGTCTTTCGGAAGCACATGGCATTTCTGTTGAGTTGTAGACATGTTCAAGGGTCTTTGCATGCAGCACTAGGTCACATTCTTTAGCCTTTCTGTCTATGCCTGTCTAAAGGAACCACAGCCAACTTTAGAAGAGTAGAAAGAAGACAAAACATGACAGTAAGGAGCACTAGGTCACATTCTTTAGCCTTTCTGTCTATGCCTGTCTAAAGGAACCACAGGCAACTTTAGAAGAGTAGAAAGAAGACAAAACATGACAGTAAGGAGCACTAGGTCACATTCTTTAGCCTTTCTGTCTATGCCTGTCTAAAGGAACCACAGCCAACTTTAGAAGAGTAGAAAGAAGACAAAACATGACAGTAAGGAGCACTAGGTCACATTCTTTAGCCTTTCTGTCTATGCCTGTCTAAAGGAACCACAGCTAACTTTAGAAGAGTAGAAAGAAGACAAAACATGACAGTAAGGAGCACTAGGTCACATTCTTTAGCCTTTCTGTCTATGCCTGTCTAAAGGAACCACAGCCAACTTTAGAAGAGTAGAAAGAAGACAAAACATGACAGTAAGGAGCACTAGGTCACATTCTTTAGCCTTTCTGTCTATGCCTGTCTAAAGGAACCACAGCTAACTTTAGAAGAGTAGAAAGAAGACAAAACATGACAGTAAGGAGCACTAGTAAGAGAAACGCTTATTGTTGACCGTTACTTGTCGCCAGGACGCACTTGGCGAGACAGTGATAGAGTTCAACGGCTTGAAACGAGACGGAGAAACAGAACAACTGACCTCGCAGGGAGATGTGAGCAGGAGGAGTGACCATCATCGATTTGCGGATGTGAACATGGGACAGGTGAGTTTTGTTTTACTTAATTTTCGTTAACACTGTTTTCTTGTGGCTTTGGGACAGTGGCATAAGAGTTGCCCTGTTGAAGAGCTTGGGGGCTTCATCACATAATATTTCTAAATACAGCAGTAGGTACGCTGCAGCCAGTCTACACTGTGGGGATCAGTAAAAGTAGAGAACCATTTCCATACTTGCAGGCATATAGGGCTGGACCTATATTTTGTGGACCAATGGGCACTCGATGGGTGATGTGGTCAGCATCACGCCCGCAATCTTTACTTCCCAGGGCTCTACCTGGTACCCATTCAAGGCTGGGTCAACCTGGTGGCCAAGGTCATTTTTGAAGAAAAAAGTCCAGTACCGCCAGGACCTGAACCCACGACCTTCTGATCCGCAGGCATGTGTCTAACCACTACACCACGGCGGCTTTTCCTTGTGAAGATAGCAGACACGTTTGTTTCACATATGGCAGGTATTCTTTGCATTTTCCTGGCCAAAAACGCAAGTCTGCTGCCATTAGATTTTCATTGGCCTATTGTCTGTATTTCAGAATCATGGCAGTATAAGCTCAGTATTGTATTTTAACACTACTTTTCATCTTGCAAAAGGCTATTTTTGCTGTCTGGAGATTTACCAAGCTTAAGGTGTGTATCTTTAATTTGTTTCCAGTACTTCAGTGACCCATGTTCGATTACTCCGTAAGATGATGGACATTTTTTCTGAGTCTGGGGCAAAAATAAAAATCCATACTTGTGCAGTTCGCAGCGACTGTAGTAGACCTCCCTGTCATTGACTACCCTACAAAATGGGAAATACCGGCAGTAAAAACAGTTTATAGACATCAGACATACGCACAGGCACATATGGACAGGCACTCTTGCTCTCTCACACAGAAGGCACGCATGCACACACAAAGTTTACTACATTTTCATTATTGCCTAAGCTGACATGTGTTTCTGTTTCTGTTATCCAATAGCATTTAGGACATGGCGTGTTTCAAGTCTCGGATAAATTTGTGAAGGATTCCAAGAACACACGGCCACGAGAGAGAAGGAAGCCAAGACGAGCAGAGGGGGCGGAAAGTGGTCTACGATCTGTGGGCTCCCAGTCCAGCGATGTGGCCAGCAGCACGGCCATGGATCAGGGCAGTGAGAGCTCCGTCTCAGACATGCCAGTGAGTTTAACTCATTTTTTTTTTATGTGCGGTCAATGAAGTTCTGGGAACGGTGAGTTAATCAGCAGGAGCGCTCTATACAACTTAGGTTGTTGCATTCACACATGCCTGCCAGCCGAAGCTCATGGTTTGCATCCATTTTAGTTTAAAAAAAAAAAAACAGACCTTGGCTGCCAGATTGCCACAGCCTAAAATGAGTAGCAAGTAAAGTCCAGGGAAGTAAAGGCAGCTGGCAGGTTGCTGACATCACCCATTGAACACTGATTGATCTAACATGATATACACAACACGCCACTAGAGTAAAAAAAAAAAAAAAAAAAGACTCCTTTTACTTTTATTTTACTTTACTTTTTTTTTACTTTATTTTCATGCTACTTTACTTTTATTTTACTTTATTTTGCTTTTACTTTTATTTTACTTTACTTTTATTTTACTTTACTTTTATTTTACTTTACTTTTACTTTATTTTACTTTTATTTTACTTAACTTTTATTTTACTTTACTTTCATTTTACTTTTACTTTATTTTACTTTAATTTTACTTTACTTTAATTTAATGTTCACTTTACTTTTATTTTACTTTTACTTTACTTTTACTTTATTTTACTTTACCTTTTATTTTACTTTACTTTTACTTTACATTTACTTTTATTTTACTTTACTTTTATTTTACTTTTACTTTACTTTACTTTTATTTTACTTTGCTTTTACTTTATTTTACTTTTTTTTTGCTTTACTTTTATTTTACTTTTACTTTTATTTTATTTTACTTTTACTTTACTTTAACTTTATTTGACTTTTATTTTGCTTTACTTTTACTTTACTAATTTTACTTTTATTTTACTTTACTTTTACTTTACTAACTATTGGTTTGCATGAGTAAACTAAATGTTTTGAATGAATACCAATACACAAAGATATTAGAAGGGACAGCCAGTTTTGTCCACTTGAAGCGAAAAGAAAAACTAGAATATTTAGTAACAGCCTGCCAGAATATTACTGGGGACCATACGATGAATGGTAATAATTTAGTCTACCGTGTATGCCAGAAATGGTGTGCGTGATACTTGTATGAGTTTTAGTGTGCTATAGAAATGTTAGTTGCGTATCCTTTACAGGTCGTTGCATAACCAACCCTAGCATTTCTTTGGCTTTTGTGGTTTTTTTCTAGGCAAATTTTACATTAAGTAGTTTACCATTGCCTACTGAGCGGTCAGCTTTTGGTATCACATTCGAAAACAACACAAAATGATCTGCTGCCAGATTGTCTGCAGCTGGGATCAGACCCAGCACTCCAGCATTACGAAGCGCGTTCACAAGGCCTGAGCCACAGACGCTGACAGTGTGATATAACATCAGTGTTTTTTCAGAAATCTGAGACCTGCTTATTATGTAACTTGTGATGGTCTCAGCAGACTTCTATCTTTAACGTATGACTCTGCCTTCATGTTTCCAGTACGCACGTATAGATATGAAACAGCTGGACCGACAGATCAAGGAAATTATGATGAAAACCATACCAGTGGTCAAGGAACACATGGGGGACACCTGTTCGACCCAGCTGCTGGGCTACATCAGGCGGCTAGTCCTGTCTCTGACTGGACAGATGAGCAGCCAAGAGTTTTCAGGCTTCTTCCAACATCAGCTGACCTCCATTATAGATGATGCACTGCAGAAATATGAGGGGCGAAAGTGAGTCTCTGGTCTCTGTCATATGTTGCTGTCATGTGTCGCTGTCATGTGTCGCTGTCATATGTCGCTGTCATATGTTAGGGCATTTGGGTTGTTGCTTATGTCTGGCTGGAGGGGTTTTCCAGGCTAAGCGGAAATAAGGGCTTTAAGTTGATGTGAAACCACTATGTTGATAAGCCAGTGTAATTGTCACGTTTCTTCTTGTTCTTCTTCCTTTTCTTTCTTCTTTTCATCTTCTTTCTAGTTTTATTTTTTCCCTTCTTCCTTTTCCTTTTCTCTTCTTTCTTTCCTTCTTCATCTTTTGTTTCCTTCTCTTCTTCCTCTCCTTCCCTCCCCCCACTTTTTTCCTCTTCCCAAGTCTTTCTCTTCTTTCTTTCCTTCTTCATCTTTTGTTTCCTTCTCTTCTTCCTCTCCTTCCCTCCCCCCACTTTTTTCCTCTTCCCAAGTCTTTCTCCTAAGCCTCTTCCCTTCTTTCCTTACTCTTCTTGAAGAAAAAATAAGGCTAGAAATTGTGAAAACTAACAATAATTGTTACTATAATAGTTGAAGAAGGAAACTGGAACAAGTTTAACCACTGGAAAGATCTGTGGAAAAAAGAGACAGAGGAAAACAACGTGGGGCGATTCTCGACAGCCTTTTATCATGGCATGGAGGGGTGTCAGCACGCAGACTGATACATGTTATTGAAGTGATACATGTTATTGAAGTGATACATGTTATTGAAGATCACAAATTGGGGAGAGGCATGATTGCCCTTGCCAGTCAGCAAGATACTTGATGATGATGCTTATAGTTGAACCTATGATAAGCTGATAATATTGTTTTGATTATCGATGATTGTTTGAGCAACATCGTGGCACAAGGGTAGTAACCCACAAATGCTCCGTTCTACTTCTAACTCAAACCTAGAATCCGAAGAATCTCAGTGCAGTGCACGAACTCCATAGCACCTGCAAGGTTTGGTCATCGAAAAGAAGCACAACTGCAAGAAATGATGAACACAACTGTAACAGCATTGAAACAGGTTTTGGTTTAAACAGCAGAAAAAGTTAGGTAATTAAACAAATAAAATGTACTTTTCAAATTGCAGCAAGTAAATGGGACAATCTTCAAGCAAGTTGATATATTTAAACATTTAGGTACCCTGGTAACAGCAGATGGAATATGTAATAAAGAAGTTAAATGTAGAATGGCTCAAGCAAAGGCAGAATTTCACAAAATGAAGAATATTCTAGGTAATCTTTCGTTGTCTATTGCGGTGAGCAAGAGAATTCTCTAGAGCTATATAAATCCTATCCTAATATAGGAAAGTAAACAGTTGGCTCATTAGTGAAACAATTATGTGGAAGTGTCAGATATCACTGACCTGAAACTGTTCAAGAAAAGTAGAGGAGTGGCTGGCTAAACAGTCAAGAACCCTGGGCTCTTATATATGAGACCCAGGTTTGAATCCTCGGTAAGATCATGGATTTTTGTTTCCATGGGGGGCAAACAAACGCCTAACCAGCACAGTCTGTGGTGACTGCACTAGCAATATGGCCTTCAGACCTCAGGGCTGCATCACAGAACTGGTAAATACAGATGGTTATGGCCATTCAGGAGAAGTTAGAAAGGAACTAAACATCAGGATAAGATTAAAGCTTATGATTTCGTCACACCTGGTTAGAGAAATTTCAAAAACTGTAAAAACTTCTACTTTTAGTGTTGTAAGTATGACATTCCATGTGACAAACTCAGGTGTGTTAGCGATAGATCCCAGAGACAAAAAGGTATGAGTGGCTTGTAGCCCTCAGTAAATGGTTTCTTTGCTGCTTGCAGGATGAGGGATTGCGGTGAAGACTTGCTGGTGGAGATCTCAGATGTTCTGTTCAACGAACTGGCATTCTTTAGATTGATGCAGGACCTGGATGATCCAAATGTAGCCAGGAAGCTTCGGTCTACAGAGTGGCAAGCTGGGGTAAGGCCAACAAGTCATTGCTCTCCCCGTGTGGGTTCCAGGGTTCCATTGGGAAAGGAAGGGAGAGGGGAGAAGAATAGATCCACTGCCCCATAACAAGCATGTCGCACAAGGCAACTAATTAGGACACTTTCCTTAAAAGTGGGAGTTCATCTGCCTGAGAGACAAGGAACCAACAGTCTGCATATGAAAAAAAGCCATATCTGTAAAATGGATGTGCACACAAAAATCAAGTTCTGGAACAAGACCAAAGTTCAGAAGTTGACGAACAACCAGGACTTTCCACCAGAGTTTACAGCTGGTGAATGTGAAGAAGAAGAAATGCTTGTCAGAATCAGATGTATGAGGCCCCAGGCTTGGGGAGAACCTTGCAACATTATTCACTTCATGGTAGTTTTTACCTGGGGCTTATACATATTTTAGTTGGGTAGATTCAAGAACCAACATCACCAATCATCGGTGTCGTCTGCGTTTGGGTCATTAGCAGCCCGTGAGCACACCATTGTTGAGGAGCCAGTTGTAGCATCCATTTGTGAACGATTGTCTCGTGAACTGCGGAGAAAACACGCTTGGTGCCCTTTTCAGAGCACTTAACAAGCCTTGTGGACTCTTCAGGGATCGAGCTTTCGATAGCCGCCTGAAAAGTACTGTTCTTACCAGAAGCAGCTGCATTAGTCATGGCCCGTGGCAAGAAAAATCCTGTCCAGCGCCGAGATACCAGGGCGACCTCAGCCAACAAGGAGGAAGCACCTGTCGTCGCACCAGCCCTGACGATGCCAGAACCGGGCGACGATCCTGAAGAGACGCTAGCCTCACTCACCCAGACGCCGCCAGCCCTGGATGTAGGCCCTATCGAGGCACCAGTGTACCCAGAAGACGCCCCAGTCGTGGTGCAGGAAGCCAACAACACCCGCCCACTCAGGCAGCAGCATCAGCGACTGGAAACCCACAGTACAGAGATTCTGCAGTGCTCACGCTGTAACAAGGCGTGGCACACAGCCGCAACCTGCCGGAGCAGCCCAATCTGTCGTTACTGCGCCGGCCCGCATGACTTTAAGGACTGCCCCCTGGCAAAAGTGGATCCAGACTTCAGGAAACCCAATGCAAGTAGGAAGTGCTCCAACTGCTCAGGGGGGCACAGCGCCAAGTACCAGGGCTGCCCGTACCTGAAAGGGATTAAGAGAGCTGGGCCGACTACCATCACCAGGACCACTCACAACCAAGAGCCAAGACAAAGATTCCAGGCGCCTAGCTCGACAGCCGCACCACCTGCAATCAACAAGGAGGTCACGCTTTTGAGGTAAGAAATTAAAACCCTCCGTGAAGAAAACGCAAAGATCAAGGCACTAAGGATCCAGGAGAGAGACGAGATGATTGATGTAAGAAGTATCCTACAGTCGTCACTAGAAACCCAAAGAAGACTGGAGAAAGAAAATGCCGAGATGATGGCATTCAATACAGAATTGATGGCGATGCTCACTGAACTCAAAAAGATTAAAGTAGCAGATGCCGAATCTGCCAAAGAGATCCAAAGAAACCATACAAACCTACTATCTGATGTCGCCGATGCCAAGAAAGAATCGATAGAAACAAAAGCAGAGCTAGCCAAGGCAAAGGAAGAATGGACCAAACTAAGCACAGCACTTCAAGCCACCAACAGAGTAATAGACGCCAGAGAAAACGCCAAGAAAGAAAAAGACAGGAACAGGCAGATCCACGACAAACAAGTGAAACCCGGAGATCTAGAGAAGAAATACATACACGACCTGTTCATCCTCAAGGAATGCCTGAAAGACGACTTCTCAGCAGTACACAAGGAGGTGAAACAACTCAAAGAGGCCACCCGGCATCTTCAACTCGAAAGTAGAAGGAACAACAAAATGAAGATTGCAGCCCTCACAAAAGGAGACGATGCCCACGTGAAATAGCAAATACAAAGCCAACACGCAGCAACCAATGAAAACCACACAAGCCGCCATGACAGCTGAACAAGTCCGCCCACCAGCCCGGAGAAACCTCACAGCCCGCGACCAGCCAGACATGATGCCCACCGCCAAATTGACTCCCACCCTACCCAAATCAGGCCGTCCCAGGCTTTGGCCTGCCCTTTTTAGGGCAGACCGAGATCCCCTCCGACACTCTAAAGCAACAGCAACCTCAGGCGATTATATATACGCCGCAACAGAAACTAGACGTCAATTGGAAAACGAATTCCAAACAACTAAACACAGCCTTCGATATAACCACTGCTCAAACTAGGAGCCAGTTGAAAGAAGCGCTAATTTTTGTTTTTTTTACCAACCAAGTCAAGTCAGACTGACATCACAGAACTGAGGGCGTTTCCACAAGCTCTCCTTCCCCATCTTCAGCAGCCAGTGCAGAGTTCCAGTGGTACCAGAAGCAGTCTGATAATGTCCATCTGTTCCTCTGAGCATCAAGTATCCGCCAGATTCCCCCTGTCACTCCTGTCACTCCTGTCACTCCTCGCTGTATCACTATCACCAGACTAATGATTAAATTTTATGTTCCGAATTGTACACGTGCTTCCATAAGGCCTTAACCAGGTCTGCCTTATCATGCATAAATATTCCACCAAGTGGTGCAGCACTAGCCAGTATGTCTGCCTGTTCATTTCCCAACACACCGGCATACCCAGGAGGAAATGCTCCTCACCGGTGACCTCTGAAGCGAAAGGCTTATAGAGAGAAAAATAAACAGCAGCAACCCCCTAAAGTCTAGACGCTGAGGCAGAAATACATATTTTTAAGAAGTAAAATTTATTATTTTGTTCTGTTATGTAAAGGTTAATGTACTTTGTAAAATTCATGTGAATTCGATGTAATAAATCTACATTGCCATCAAATATAGCACTTTCACTTTTTATTTCTTATGTCTTGGTCTTAGTTGAGGTTTCAGCTTCACTGCAGTCCGGTCACCCCTTCACATGCTCTATTCCTCTACCAATGAAATTCATATGAAAAGTTGCTCACTGACCCATTTGAAAACTGGTGAACCTGGTGTCCTGGTACAATTCAGCAATATGTGCATGCAGTAAATGTATCTGGCAGTTGCTAGAGGCGCAAAACCTAACAGCCACCACCAGAAATACAGATTGTCTTTGATGGAAATAGTTGGCCACAATAAGTTGGCTGTCATCATCAGGGGCCTTGCCAACTGGCATGAGAGATCATGCCTCTCCACAATCTGCGACCCACAACTGCATGTGTTGACAACCTTCTCTGAAATGACAAAAGACTAAAGAATCTTCTCACACTGTCTTCCTCTGTCTCTCTTACCACAAATCTTGCCAGTAGTCACAGGTTCCATTTTCCCTCTTCTCCTAGCATGACCAAATAAATGATGACTGTCTCCTTCTGATGTACGTACGTGCGTAAAATTATAACATAAACTATTTCTCCAGCCCACACGTAAACCGGCTACTGGTGAATACTGAATACCATGACTCAGCCGCTGAACAAATGAAATTTATTTCCAATGTGCTCAGACTTTGGGAACGTCCTGGAATGCATGAAGAGTCTCTGTGAGATTGTCTTATTGTTTCAGATTTCCAGGGAGGATAACTCATCTGAGTATGCCGCCAGCACCAGCACATCGGAGGGTTTTGATGAGGATAATAATCATTTTGAAGAGGATAAAACTGAAGATGGAGGAACCGATAAAACGCTGGAGGCCGGTGACACACAGGGTGAACTAAAAACTGAGTCAGAGCAGGAGGAATTTATGGTGAGTCTTATGCTCAACTGCTATGGTGCAGTTACTAGTACTCTTTTCTGCCAACATAGTGGTTGTAGGTTTGAATCTCCATCGAGGTAGGTTTTGATCGTTTTGTAACTAGTTGCACTAACTGCTGAAGTTAAGAAGTGCTGGGACCTGTTTTATAACTGGTTGCACTGATTGTGAAAGTCAAGAATAATATGGCCTGTTCTATAACTGCTTTCACTAATCATAAAAGACAGGAAATGCTGTGACCTGTTTTATAACCAGCCACACTAACCATGGAACTCAAGTCTTCCTGTGACCTGTTTTATAACCAGCCACACTAGCCATGGAACTCAAGTATTCCTGTGACCTGTTTTATAACCAGCCACACTAGCCATGGAACTCAAGTATTCCTGTGACCTGTTTTATAACCAGCCACACTAACCATAGAAGTCAAGAAGTACTGTGACCTGTTTTATAACCAGCCACACTAGCCATGGAACTCAAGAATTCCTGTGACCTGTTTTATAACCAGCCACACTAACCATGGAACTCAAGTCTTCCTGTGACCTGTTTTATAACCAGCCACACTAGCCATGGAACTCAAGTATTCCTGTGACCTGTTTTATAACCAGCCACACTAGCCATGGAACTCAAGTCTTCCTGTGACCTGTTTTATAACCAGCCACACTAGCCATGAAACTCAAGTATTCCTGTGACCTGTTTTATAACCAGCCACACTAGCCATGGAACTCAAGTATTCCTGTGACCTGTTTTATAACCAGCCACACTAGCCATGGAACTCAAGTATTCCTGTGACCTGTTTTATAACCAGCCACACTAGCCATGGAACTCAAGTATTCCTGTGACCTGTTTTATAACCAGCCACACTAGCCATGGAACTCAAGTATTCCTGTGACCTGTTTTATAACCAGCCACACTAGCCATGGAACTCAAGAAGTACTGTGACCTGTTTTATAACCAGCCACACTAGCCATGGAACTCAAGAAGTAATGTGACCTGTTTTATAACCAGCCACACTAGCCTTGGAACTCAAGAAGTACTGTGACCTGTTTTATAACCAGCCACACTAGCCATGGAACTCAAGTATTCCTGTGACCTGTTTTATAACCAGCCACACTAGCCATGGAACTAATGAAGTAATGTGACCTGTTTTATAACCAGCCACACTAGCCATGGAACTCAAGTATTCCTGTGACCTGTATTGTAACCAGCCACACTAGCCATGGAACTCAAGAAGTAATGTGACCTATTTTATAACCAGCCACACTAGCCATGGAACTCATGAAGTACTGTGACCTGTTTTATAACCAGCCACACTAACCATGGAACTCATGAAGTACTGTGACCTGTTTTATAACCAGCCACACTAGCCATGGAACTCAAGTATTCCTGTGACCTGTTTTATAACCAGCCACACTAACCATGGAACTCATGAAGTACTGTGACCTGTTTTATAACCAGCCACACTAGCCATGGAACTCATGAAGTACTGTGACCTGTTTTATAACCAGCCACACTAGCCATGGAACTCAAGTATTCCTGTGACCTGTTTTATAACCAGCCACACTAACCATGGAACTCAAGTATTCCTGTGACCTGTTTTATAACCAGCCACACTAACCATGGAACTCAAGTATTCCTGTGACCTGTTTTATAACCAGCCACACTAGCCATGGAACTCAAGTATTCCTGTGACCTGTTTTATAACCAGCCACACTAACCATGGGACTCAAGTATTCCTGTGACCTGTTTTGTAACATTACACAAACCATGGAAGACAAGAAGTACTGTGACCCACCTTATAAATGGGTGCACTTACCGTGAAAGTCAGCCCCATCTTCCCATACTAGCTAGTGATTGAACAGTTTACTTCTGAGCTACATTGTTGTTGTTGAAGATGTTGATATTGTACACACCGCCTCCCCTCCCCTCCCATGTGGGTTGGGGGGGGGGGGGGTTAATTAATAAACTCACTGACTTTGGACATGCATGTCATTAAAGTCGACTAATTAGGGATGATTCCTTTTAAGTCGGAGAGCATCTGTCTGAGAGGTGACAAGTCAACCTTCTGCAAACAAATAAGCCAGTTCTGTAAAACAGATTTGTATGCAAAACTCAAGTTCTAGAACAAGATAAGCTCCAGAAGAGGGCAAGTAACCAGAACTTTCCGCTGCACTATACAGCCGGTGAATTTGAAGAAAAGAAAGAATGTTTGTAATTTTAGAAATGGAATTCAGTGGACCCAAACAGAATAGCTTGAAGATCTGTACTTTGCTGATGAGATTTTTCAAGATAAATTAAACATAGTTCATGAGATATCTCAACAGTTAAGTCAAAACAATATTGAGAATAAAACAGGCAAAGAATAATCCAGTCTGTCTTGGTAAAAGCTTACTCAGAAGATGTGGAATCATACACCTAATTAGGCAGTAATGCAGTTGAAGATGGAACAACCGAACAAACTTTATTTTCTTGGAGATAGATGGATGGATGGATAGACGGCCTGACCGACAGACAGACATACACTTTCTATTTTTATTGGAGGAACTGAGAGAGATGAAATAATACAAATACAAAAGGCAAGAGTTGTGATAGCACTAGAAAATCCGAGGAGGTGACAGGAAATTTGAACTACAACAGATTTAAAATATTTAGCTCCAATGGCAAACAACTAAAACAGTTGCTAAATTTTTTTAATTAATTAACTGGTGCCTGTGGAGATAAGAGGGAATTAGAGGATATGAATGGATCCCTTTGTGTGGAGCTTTAAGAGAAAACTAAATAAATTCCAGTGAATCAGGATGTGAGGAAAAGATGCTGGCGTATGATAGGACCACACTGAGGAAACCAGATAATGGTATAACTAGAATGTCTTTGCAGATGAACCCACAGGGTCAGAGAAAAGTGCCTTGCTGACTGGCAGGGATGCTCATGCCTCTTCACAGCCTGCAATCTCCAACAGCATTTATCAATTCACGTGTTGACGTTCCTGCATGCTGTGACAAAAGGCTGCCAAGAATCTTCTTGTGTCTCTCTTTCCACAAATATTTCCATGGTGGTCATATTTTTCATCTTCTCATAAAACATAGCCAAAATAAATGGTGACTGTCTCCTTCTGATGTTTTTTGATAAGTTGTCTTTGGGCCCTCATTTGGCTAAAAATGTCTGTTTTTTTTTTTAATGACTTTCTAAGGAATTTTAAGCCTTTTTCTTTAAAATCATATCTCTGAAGCCTCAAGAAATTGTTTGACTAGTTTATTAATTGTCCAGAATTCACAGCCATATGATAAAATTGGCTGCATGCAGCATGTAAGAATTCTATTATTAACCTTCAATGACACAGATTTATTGCAATAGATGTTCTTCATGTGATCAGATGCAATGTTACATATTGTTACATTCCCTCTGTACAGGACAAAGATCAGGAAATGGCCGGCAAGCATGGTGTCAGAGATGCTGATGAGAAAGATGATGATGAAACTGAGCAACTGTACAAGATTGAGCTCGCTCCCAGTGAGACCAAACCATTTACCAGGTACAGACAACTCATTTGATTTTCTTCATCGTATATCTTCTTACTCTTCACTCTGTCACTGTCACTAGAAGGCCGGTCGCACGCCAGCCTTCCTTAGCTGCATCTTATGGCATGCATGTAAGGTTTCACTTTTACTGTTCTTTGCTTCCTCTATGAGTCTGGTAACTTCTTTTTCATCTTCTTCTTAGGTTCACTGGCAGTAAACTCTAGTGCAGACTCTTATTGCTCGCCAACTTCTTTAGTCTTGTTCCAGAACTTGTGTTTTGTGTGCAGATCTGACTTATTTGTGTGCAGACTGTTGGTGCTCCCCCCCTCTAAGTCAGATGCCCTCTTCACTTTAAAGAAAACACCCTTAATTAGTCTTTTCTCTCTCCCCCCCCCCCCCCCCCCCCCCCCCCCCCCTTTTCCCAAAAATATGACCCTGGATTCCACACAGGGAAGTCTGGTACATGGGCACTATTTAAACTTGAATTCACTTTATTCTCACAGGTATCTATCTGTGGCTTAGAACTTGTGAATGCACTCCGTAATTCTGAAAACCCAGTGTGATTCTAGTGGCACGCAATTTGGCAGCAGATCATTTTGCATTGATTTCATCAGTGGTATAGAACATCGACTGTTAATTAACCCAGTGGCAAACTATTGAAGATAGTTAAAAAAAAATATTGAAAATACCACATTTAATCTCATATCTCATTTGCTCCTCTGATATATGAAAGTATGTTTTTATTTGTATGTGACTAGGATTGGCAGTGATGAAGATGATGATGATGATGAAGAGGATGAAGAGTGCAGCCTGGAGGATCCCGGTGAAACTGCGGTCAGTCGAGACTCCTTGCTAGAAATTAGCGGTCAGTCCACAGCCATTACTTCCCTCAGCACCAGACCAGAGACGGAGGGGGCCCAAGGAGACGAGGCAGAGAAGCAGGATCTGGAGAAGCCTGTGTCTCCTAAGAAGACAGGGCAGGCCACAGCGGTGAAGCCTCATGGAGAAGGGGATGGAGCAGAGGTGGCACCTGCAACCAACAACACAACAGCAATTGCAGGGGTGTTACCAGTGACGGTGAGTGATGTGGTCCTCTTGGAGTCTGTCATTCTTTAGCTTTAACCTTTTGACCCTGAAAAGCCACAAAACTAGTTGGAACCATTTCCACATAAGAGCCACTTTCCCAAATCCTGTAGAATGTTTGTGATGCATCTAGCTAACAGAATTAATTGTGTCTGCGCAAACATGAATGACTGAATGTACTTTTTAAAAAAAAGCATTTAATGGGGGTCCATTTTTTTTTATTCATAAACACACCCCGTGGGTCAAGTAAGTGTGACATTATAATTAGTTTATAGGTCAATGGATTCTATGCTGCATTAATTTTTTAATTGATTACTCCCCTTACTCTCTATACGTAGTTGTTATGTTTTTGATGGGGGGGGGGGGGGGGGGGGGGGGGGGGGGGGGGGGGGGGGGGGGGGGGGTGGGGGGTGACATGTATAAACTGTTCGTTTTTCTGCCCTCCTCGCACCAAAAAATAGAAATTATGGTAGCTGGGCTTTTTTTTAAAATTCTCATTTTCTGGAGCATCAGGGTCAAGGGGTTTGACGTTTCTGCACTGTGTTCATCCCATATGCCCAGTCTCCTTGCATTGTGGCAGATCACCAGCTCAGTGGAATGACTTAATGTATTTCTTTCTCTAAGAATGGACTTGTATTACTTTTTCTAACAATTATAGTGAGTTACTGTATTTCTATATCTCACAGTGGAGTGAGTTACTGTATTTCTATATCTCACAGTGGAGTGAGTTACTGTATTTCTATATCTCACAGTGGAGTGAGTTACTGTATTTCTATGTCTCACTGTGGTGTGAGTTACTGTATTTCTTTGTCTCACGGTGGAGTGAGTTACTGTATTTCTATGTCTCACAGTGGAGTGAGTTACTGTATTTCTATGTCTCACTGTGGTGTGAGTTACTGTATTTCTATGTCTCACAGTGGAGTGAGTTACTGTATTTCTTTGTCTCACAGTGGAGTGAGTTACTGTATTTCTATGTCTCACAGTGGAGTGAGATACTGTATTTCTATGTCTCACAGTGGTGTGAGTTACTGTATTTCTTTGTCTCACAGTGAAGTAAGTTACTGTATTTCTATGTCTCACAGTGGAGTGAGGTACTGTATTTCTCTGTCTCACAGTGGTGTGAGGTACTGTATTTCTGTGTCTCACAGTGGAGTGAGTTACTGTATTTCTATGTCTCACAGTGGTGTGAGGTACTGTATTTCTATGTCTCACAGTGGAGTGAGTTACTGTATTTCTATGTCTCACAGTAGAGTAAGTTACTGTATTTCTTTGTCTCACAGTGGTGTGAGTTACTGTATTTCTTTGTCTCACAGTGGTGTGAGTTACTGTATTTCTATTTCTCACAGTGGTGTGAGGTACTGTATTTCTATGTCTCACAATGGAGTGAGTTACTGTATTTCTATGTCTCACAGTGGAGTGAGGTACTGTATTTCTATGTCTCACTGTGGTGTGAGTTACTGTATTTCTATTTCTCACAGTGGAGTGAGTTACTGTATTTCTCTGTCTCACAGTGGTGTGAGGTACTGTATTTCTATGTCTCACAGTGGAGTGAGTTACTGTATTTCTCTGTCTCACAGTGGTGTGAGGTACTGTATTTCTATGTCTCACAGTGGAGTGAGTTACTGTATTTCTCTGTCTCACAGTGGTGTGAGGTACTGTATTTCTATGTCTCACAGTGGAGTGAGTTACTGTATTTCTATTTCTCACAGTGGAGTGAGTTACTGTATTTCTATTTCTCACAGTGGTGTGAGTTACTGTATTTCTTTGTCTCACAGTGGTGTGAGTTACTGTATTTCTATGTCTCACAGTGAAGTGAGTTACTGTATTTCTGTGTCTCACAGTGGAGTGCGTTACTTTATTTCTTTGTCTCACAGTGGAGTGAGTTACTGTATTTCTTTGTCTCACAGTGGAGTGAGTTACTGTATTTTTATGTCTCACAGTGGAGTGAGTTACTGTATTTCTTTATCTCACAGTGGAGTGAGTTACTGTATTTCTATGTCTCACAGTGGTGTGGGTTACTGTATTTCTTTGTCTCACAGTGAAGTGGGTTACTGTATTTTTTTGTCTCACAGTGGTGTGAGTTACTGTATTTCTATGTCTCACAGTGGTGTGGGTTACTGTATTTCTTTGTCTCACAGTGGTGTGAGTTACTGTATTTTTTTGTCTCACAGTGGTGTGAGTTACTGTATTTCTATGTCTCACAGTGGTGTGAGTTACTGTATTTCTATGTCTCACAGTGGTGTGAGTTACTGTATTTTTTTTGTCTCACAGTGGTGTGAGTTACTGTATTTTTTTGTCTCACAGTGGTGTGAGTTACTGTATTTCTATGTCTCACAGTGGAGTGAGTTACTGTATTTCTATGTCTCACAGTAGAGTAAGTTACTGTATTTCTATGTCTCACAGTGGTGTGGGTTACTGTATTTCTTTGTCTCACAGTGGTGTGAGTTACTGTATTTCTATGTCTCACAGTGGTGTGAGTTACTGTATTTCTATGTCTCACAGTGGTGTGAGTTACTGTATTTTTTTTGTCTCACAGTGGTGTGAGTTACTGTATTTTTTTGTCTCACAGTGGTGTGAGTTACTGTATTTCTATGTCTCACAGTGGAGTGAGTTACTGTATTTCTATGTCTCACAGTAGAGTAAGTTACTGTATTTCTATGTCTCACAGTGGTGTGGGTTACTGTATTTCTTTGTCTCACAGTGGTGTGAGTTACTGTATTTTTTTGTCTCACAGTGGTGTGGGTTACTGTATTTCTTTGTCTCACAGTGGTGTGGGTTACTGTATTTCTTTGTCTCACAGTGGTGTGAGTTACTGTATTTCTTTGTCTCACAGTGGTGTGAGTTACTGTATTTTTTTGTCTAACAGTGGTGTGGGTTACTGTATTTCTTTGTCTCACAGTGGTGTGGGTTACTGTATTTCTTTGTCTCACAGTGGTGTGGGTTACTGTATTTCTTTGTCTCACAGTGGTGTGGGTTACTGTATTTCTTTGTCTCACAGTGGTGTGAGTTACTGTATTTCTTTGTCTCACAGTGGTGTGGGTTACTGTATTTCTTTGTCTCACAGTGGTGTGAGTTACTGTATTTTTTTGTCTCACAGTGGTGTGAGTTACTGTATTTCTATGTCTCACAGTGGTGTGGGTTACTGTATTTCTATGTCTCACAGTGGTGTGGGTTACTGTATTTCTTTGTCTCACAGTTAAGTGGGTTACTGTATTTCTATGTCTCACAGTGGAGTGAGTTACTGTATTTCTATTTCTCACAGTGGAGTGAGTTACTGTATTTCTATTTATCACAGTGGAGTGAGTTACTGTATTTCTATGTCTCACAGTGGTGTGAGGTACTGTATTTCTATGTCTCACAGTGGTGTGAGTTACTGTATTTCTTTGTCTCACAGTGGTGTGAGTTACTGAATTTTTTTGTCTCACAGTGGTGTGAGGTACTGTATTTCTCTGTCTCACAGTGGAGTGAGTTACTGTATTTTTATGTCTTACAGTGGAGTGAGGTACTGTATTTCTATGTCTCACAGTGGAGTGAGTTACTGTATTTTTATGTCTCACAGTGGTGTGAGGTACTGTATTTCTATGTCTCACAGTGGAGTGAGTTACTGTATTTTTATGTCTTACAGTGGAGTGAGTTACTGTATTTCTATGTCTCACAGTGGTGTGAGGTACTGTATTTCTATGTCTCACAGTGGTGTGAGGTACTGTATTTCTATGTCTCACAGTGGAGTGAGTTACTGTATTTCTATGTCTCACAGTGGTGTGAGGTACTGTATTTCTATGTCTCACAGTGGTGTGAGGTACTGTATTTCTATGTCTCACAGTGGAGTGAGTTACTATATTTTTATGTCTCACAGTGGAGTGAGTTACTGTATTTCTATGTCTCACAGTGGAGTGAGTTACTGTATTTCTATGTCTCACAGTGGTGTGAGGTACTGTATTTCTATGTCTCACAGTGGAGTGAGTTACTGTATTTCTATGTCTCACAGTGGAGTGAGTTACTGTATTTCTATGTCTCACAGTGGTGTGAGTTACTGTATTTCTATGTCTCACAGTGGTGTGAGGTACTGTATTTCTATGTCTCACAGTGGTGTGAGGTACTGTATTTCTATGTCTCACAGTGGTGTGAGGTACTGTATTTCTATGTCTCACAGTGGTGTGAGGTACTGTATTTCTATGTCTCACAGTGGAGTGAGGTACTGTATTTCTATGTCTCACAGTGGAGTGAGTTACTGTATTTCTATGTCTCACAGTGGTGTGAGTTACTGTATTTCTATGTCTCACAGTGGTGTGAGGTACTGTATTTCTATGTCTCACAGTGGTGTGAGGTACTTTATTTCTATGTCTCACAGTGGTGTGAGGTACTGTATTTCTATGTCTCACAGTGGTGTGAGGTACTGTATTTCTATGTCTCACAGTGGTGTGAGTTACTGTATTTCTATGTCTCACAGTGGTGTGAGGTACAGTAAAACATTAACCTTCTGCTTAGTTATAAATTTACATCCCAAGTTCATGTTGAAATTGATGTCAGTTTCAGCTTTTATAAGCCATCTGTATGACACAATAACTCAACAGTAATTTGTGGGTGTGCTTTTGACTAAACAACCTTGACCGGCATCTTAATTTTGGTGTCAGGTCACTAACAGTGTGACTTTGCATGAGAAAATCATGAAATTGCATAGTTTTTCTTTGACCCCCTGTTAAACCAGTTATAATGTGCAATACTTCCTGAAATTAATCAAAGTAAACCTTCCAAAAGTCTACCAAGACAGTTTCATGATAAAAATATATATCGTAAAGAAGAAAAAACTACATATGGTATTCTTCTTTAGTGAAGAAATATTTCTTCGTCTTGGATATTCTGAGTCTGCATGCAAAAAATTATTGCGATCTAACAGGCAGTTTTCGGGAAAATGGCTGGCAAGTATGTTTAGGAACTGTTGAATGAACTATAAATATAGGTATCACACTATGGAATGACCTAACTCTATGTATCACACAGTGGAATGTCCTCACTATATGTATCACACAGTGGAATGACCTAACTATGTATCACACAGTGGAATGACCTAACTCTATGTATCACACAGTGGAATGACCTCACTATATGTATCACACAGTGGAATGACCTAACTATGTATCACACAGTGGAATGACCTAACTCTATGTATCACACAGTGGAATGACCTCACTATATGTATCACACAGTGGAATGACCTAACTATATGTATCACACAGTGGAATGACCTAACTATGTATCACACAGTGGAATGACCTAACTCTATGTATCACACAGTGGAATGACCTAACTATATGTATCACACAGTGGAATGTCCTCACTATATGTATCACACAGTGGAATGTCCTCACTATATGCATCACACAGTGGAATGTCCTCACTATATGTATCACACAGTGGAATGTCCTCACTATATGTATCACACAGTGGAATGACCTAACTATATGTATCACACAGTGGAATGACCTAACTATATGTATCACACAGTGGAAAGACCTAACTATATGTATCGCACAGTGAAACGGCCTAACTATATGTATCGCACAGTGAAACGGCCTAACTATATGTATCACAGTGAAATGGCCTAACTATATGTATCGCACAACAAAATGGCCTAACTATATGTATCACAGTGAAATGGCCTAACTATATGTATCGTACAGTGAAATGGCCTAACTATATGTATCGCACAACAAAATGGCCTAACTATATGTATCACAGTGAAATGGCCTAACTATATGTATCGTACAGTGAAATGGCCTAACTATATGTATCACGCAGTGGAATGTCCTCACTATATTTATCACACAGTGAAATGGCCTAACTATATGTATCGCACAGTGAAACGGCCTAACTATATGTATCGCACAGTGAAACGGCCTAACTATATGTATCACAGTGAAATGGCCTAACTATATGTATCGCACAACAAAATGGCCTAACTATATGTATCACAGTGAAATGGCCTAACTATATGTATCGTACAGTGAAATGGCCTAACTATAAGTATCGTACAGTGGAATAACCTAACTGTGTGTATCACAGAATGGAATTACATTTATCACATATTGGAATGAATCTAACTATATTTATCACACTGTGAAATGCCCTTCAAGCAAATGTTTATTATTTCAGGTAAATGGAACTGTAAATGAGGAAAACAATCACGGCAGCGAGGATGAACTGACTGTAGATGATTTGCCAGAGACGCTGAGTGTGCCATCTGCTCTATCTGCATCTGTAATTAGCAACAGTAACAACACTGTGAGTACACACTGTTACGTGTGTGGGTTCTGAGACCCAGTTGTGACATGTATAGACCCACTGTGGAGGAAAAATGATAGAATAGACTTACTGCCCCGCCTAACAAGTTTGTCGGTCGTTGAAGTCAACTTAATTAGGGGTGTTTCCGTCAAAGTTGGCTGAGGGGTGAGATCCCAATATTCTGCAATGCAAATAAACCAGTTCTGTAAAACACTTACATGCAAAATTCAAGAAACAAGACCAAAATCCAAGTGGACAAACAACTAGAACTTAACACCAGAGTTTATAACCAGTGAGCAATAATAAAAAAGAGCTTTAGATGTGGCAAGAAAACAGGTTTTAGATGTGGCAAGAAAACAGGTACAGAACTGAAAAATACCCAGATAATATGTGGTTAATTGTAGCAAAGACTGTACCTCTTTTTTATCCCAGAGAAGCCACATTTGATAGAAGTCATCTTTACATTGTGTACCTGTGGATATTGGTCTGTTGCGTCTGAGTCTGAAAATGATAAATTGTCCAGTCCTGTTCATTTGATAAGAGTCATCCACCCTGTGTGGAATCTGGGCAAATAAATTCACTGCTACCTTAACAAGCGTGTCATAAAAGGAAACTAAATAGGGGTCTGAGTCTGGGTTCCAGGGCCCCATTGTGGAGGGAAGGGGAGGGGGGGATAAAGGAATAGACACACTGCCCCCCCCCCCCTCAACTAATTAAGGATTTTCTTTAGAATCGGAATGCAAGGAACCAAGTCTGTGTACAGAAAAGCAAGATCTGTAAAACAGATGTGCATGCAAAACTCAAGTTCTAGAACAAAGCCAAAGTCCAAAAGTGGATGGAAAACCAGGACACTGGGTACTAGGAAATGTCCTAAGAAGTAAAGGTGGACGGCATGATGTTGGCCACACCCGTCATATGCTGATTAAAGTAGTAAAGAACCCTTTTCCACGCCTTTAGGCGTATAGGGCATATAGGGCTAGACCTATATTTTTAATGACCAACGGCACAAGATGGGTGATGGGGTCAGCATGACACCGGCCGCCTCTACTTCCCGGGACTGCACCCGGTACCCACTGGGTCGACCTGGGATCATATGCTGATTGCCCCACACAAATGTGTCTAACATAAAATCCCTGCTGTCCCCCTGACTTGAAAGGTCCTTAACTTTAAAATGTGTATCTAGTTCAGTCTCCCCAATTGTTGGCATGAAACAGGTCTTTTTAGGCCCGTTTTATAATGTGAAGTAAAAAGTATTTTTGTTGCGCAAATGGAGTTGTTTCAACTTTGTTTCAGGCTGAACATTAAAGGGGACATGCACAATGGGAAGCAGCAGTTTTACCTGATGCAGTTTTCATGCTTGAACACATAGCATGGAATGTTCAACAGAAAGACACAGAATCAAGTACAGACAAGGTCACAGTCTGCAGAATTCATGACCATTAGAACAGCTCTGAGCTGGCTTGTCTTTTCATCAACAGTTTGATCTTCTTCTTCTTCTTTTTCTGTAGTTCTGTTCCGCCTTTCAGTGTCAGGCCTTGATGTGCTGTGTAGATGCTGGTATTAATCGGATATTCCCTCTATCGATGGATTGCATGGGTGATCTTTGGCCCTGCTTCCACTGTGTCTAAGTGACCAGGCTCTCTGTGGTGTACCTTGTGTTGGCGATCCTGACATGTCTATGAATTATTGTTTGCCACACTCAGTATCTCCTTGCCATTAAAATTTAAAAAAAAGGGAAAGAAGTTGGAAAAGATTTCTATTTCAACAACCTTGGGGTGGATGAATATCTTCTTTTTTGTTGACTGGCTGTAAGCTCCAGCAGAAAACCCTAGTTGTTCGTGCATTTGGGCTTTAGATTTGTGTCCGACTCCAAAGGAAGTTCCCAATAAATGGACTCTTGCGACATGCTTCTTGGAATGGCAGTCGGTCTATTCTTTTTTCTCACACAATGGGCCCCGGAACCAACACAGAGGGTGAATATTAATGCCCTCTTTGTAAATAGTTTGCGACTAAAATTAACTTCCACTGCTGCTGATTAAAATTTATTGTCAGAATATATCATTTATACAGTAGTATGCCTGGAATTGGATGCAGTCAATAATTTTTTTAGACAGCCTTATGGATGGGATAAGACAAGAACACTGGCCTAATCCGTGATTGCGTGGGGTTATAGACTCACAGTCCCTTAAGCATTTGGTAAAGGACTACTTACTAATTAAGGATTTGGTGATATCAGATCTGTTGGGCTGAAAAGTGCAGATATTGCAGCCTGAGCTCCCCATTTTAAAGGTGAACTCAGAAGTGTTATTTGTCTATGCATTCAACTTAGTCTAATTCTTTCTTGCATACATTGGCTGTTCTGTTCGCTAGTTAACTTATTTTTTTTCAACTTCAAGCATCTTCTCTCGTTGTCTTCCTCTATCTCTCCGTCCACATATCTTTCCAGTGGTCACAACATGTTCTATTTTGCCTCTTCTCATAACATGGCCGAAAAATGATGACTGTCTCCTTCTGATGTCTTTCAAAACCTATTGGTTGCTCTTTTTGGCGGTCCAAGGTATTCTAAGCATTCTTCTGTAAAACCACATCTCTGAGGCCTCTAGAAATTGTTTGGCCTGCCTACCCATTGTCCAGGATTCACAGGCATATGTTACAACTGGATGTCTGTAGCAAGCAAGAATTCTTTTTCAAACTCTCAATGACAAGGATATATTGCACAAGATGTTTTTCATTTTATAAAATGCAGTTTTTGCCTGTCCTGTTCTATTTCTTATCTCAGTTTTGCATCTTCCATCTGATGTTATCCATGTGCCCAGATACTTAAATTTCTGTACTTGTCCTAAAATAACACCATCAATTTTTATTACACACTTAGGAATAATTTGTTTCTTTGATACCACCCTTACTTCTGTCTTCCCATTATTCAAACTGAGGCCCATTCTTCCACTTTCTAACACCACACATACCAAGTCCATTCAATCTTGTTTATCTTTGTTGAGTAGACACTGCTGTGCATTTGTTGTAGAGGGAGTTTCAGTGCCCACGGGTGATGGTCATGTGTGTTGGGTGTTTGTATCCAGAGGTGATGGTCATGTGTGTTGGGTGTTTGTATCCAGAGGTGATGGTCATGTGTGTTGGGTGTTAGTGTCCAGAGGTGATGGTCATGTGTGTTGGGTGTTAGTGTCCAGAGGTGATGGTCATGTGTGTTGGGTGTTAGTGTCCAGAGGTGATGGTCATGTGTGTTGTGTGTTTGTGTCCACGGGTGATGGTCATGTGTGTTGGGTGTTTGTGTCCACGGGTGATGGTCATGTGTGTTGGGTGTTTCAGTGTCCAGGGGTGATGGTCATGTGTGTTGGGTGTTTGTGTCCACGGGTGATGGTCATGTGTGTTGGGTGTTTGTGTCCAGGGGTGATGGTCATGTGTGTTGGGTGTTTCAGTGTCCAGGGGTGATGGTCATGTGTGTTGGGTATTTCAGTGTCCAGAGGTGATGGTCATGTGTGTTGGGTATTTCAGTGTCCAGAGGTGATGGTCATGTGTGTTGGGTGTTAGTGTCCAGGGGTGACGGTCATGTGTGTTGGGTGTTTGTGTCCAGAGGTGATGGTCATGTGTGTTAGTGTCCAGAGGTGATGGTCATGTGTGTTAGTGTCCAGAGGTGATGGTCATGTGTGTTAGTGTCCAGAGGTGATGGTCATGTGTGTTAGTGTCCAGGGGTGATGGTCATGTGTGTTAGTGTCCAGAGGTGATGGTCATGTGTGTTGGATGTTTCAGTGTCCAGGGGTGACGGTCATGTGTGTTGGGTATTTCAGTGTCCAGGGGTTATGGTCATGTGTGTTGGGTGTTTCAGTGTCCAGAGGTGATGGTCATGTGTGTTGGGTGTTTGTGTCCAGAGGTGATGGTCATGTGTGTTGGGTGTTTGTGTCCAGAGGTGATGGTCACGTGTGTTGGGTGTTTGTGTCCAGAGGTGATGGTCATGTGAGTTGGGTGTTTCAGTGACTAAGGGTGATGGTCATGTGTGTTGGGTGTTTGTGTCCAGAGGTGATGGTCATGTGAGTTGGGTGTTTGTGTCCAGAGGTGATGGTCATGTGAGTTGGGTGTTTCAGTGACTAAGGGTGATGGTCATGTGTTGGGTGTTTCAGTGTCCAGAGGTGATGGTCATGTGTTGGGTGTTTGTGTCCAGAGGTGATGGTCATGTGTGTTGGGTGTTTGTGTCCAGAGGTGATGGTCATGTGAGTTGGGTGTTTCAGTGACTAAGGGTGATGGTCATGTGTGTTGGGTGTTTCAGTGTCCAGAGGTGATGGTCATGTGTGTTGGGTGTTTGTGTCCAGAGGTGATGGTCATGTGTGTTGGGTGTTTGTGTCCAGGAGTGATGGTCATGTGTGTTGGGTGTTTCAGTGTCCAGGGGTGATGGTCATGTGTGTTGGGTATTTCAGTGTCCAGAGGTGATGGTCATGTGTGTTGGGTATTTCAGTGTCCAGAGGTGATGGTCATGTGTGTTGGGTGTTAGTGTCCAGGGGTGACGGTCATGTGTGTTGGGTGTTTGTGTCCAGAGGTGATGGTCATGTGTGTTAGTGTCCAGAGGTGATGGTCATGTGTGTTAGTGTCCAGAGGTGATGGTCATGTGTGTTAGTGTCCAGAGGTGATGGTCATGTGTGTTAGTGTCCAGGGGTGATGGTCATGTGTGTTAGTGTCCAGAGGTGATGGTCATGTGTGTTGGATGATTCAGTGTCCAGGGGTGACGGTCATGTGTGTTGGGTATTTTCAGTGTCCAGGGGTTATGGTCATGTGTGTTGGGTGTTTCAGTGTCCAGAGGTGATGGTCATGTGTGTTGGGTGTTTGTGTCCAGAGGTGATGGTCATGTGTGTTGGGTGTTTGTGTCCAGAGGTGATGGTCATGTGAGTTGGGTGTTTGTGTCCAGAGGTGATGGTCATGTGAGTTGGGTGTTTCAGTGACTAAGGGTGATGGTCATGTGTTGGGTGTTTCAGTGTCCAGAGGTGATGGTCATGTGTTGGGTGTTTGTGTCCAGAGGTGATGGTCATGTGTGTTGGGTGTTTGTGTCCAGAGGTGATGGTCATGTGAGTTGGGTGTTTCAGTGACTAAGGGTGATGGTCATGTGTGTTGGGTGTTTCAGTGTCCAGAGGTGATGGTCATGTGTGTTGGGTGTTTGTGTCCAGAGGTGATGGTCATGTGAGTTGGGTGTTTGTGTCCAGGGGTGATGGTCATGTGTGTTGGGTGTTTGTGTCCAGAGGTGATGGTCATGTGTGTTGGGTGTTTGTGTCCAGAGGTGATGGTCATGTGAGTTGGGTGTTTCAGTGACTAGAGGTGATGGTCATGTGTGTTGGGTGTTTGTGTCCAGGGGTGATGGTCATGTGTGTTGGGTGTTTGTGTCCAGAGGTGATGGTCATGTGAGTTGGGTGTTTCAGTGACTAAGGGTGATGGTCATGTGAGTTGGGTGTTTGTGTCCAGAGGTGATGGTCATGTGAGTTGGGTGTTTGTGTCCAGAGGTGATGGTCATGTGAGTTGGGTGTTTGTGTCCAGAGGTGATGGTCATGTGAGTTGGGTGTTTGTGTCCAGAGGTGATGGTCATGTGTGTTGGGTGTTTCAGTGACTAGAGGTGATGGTCATGTGTGTTGGGTGTTTGTGTCCAGAGGTGATGGTCATGTGTGTTGGGTGTTTGTGTCCAGAGGTGATGGTCATGTGTGTTGGGTGTTTCAGTGACTAGGGGTGATGGTCATGTGTGTTGGGTGTTTCAGTGTCCAGAGGTGATGGTCATGTGAGTTGGGTGTTTGTGTCCAGAGGTGATGGTCATGTGAGTTGGGTGTTTGTGTCCAGAGGTGATGGTCATGTGTGTTGGGTGTTTCAGTGACTAGAGGTGATGGTCATGTGTGTTGGGTGTTTGTGTCCAGAGGTGATGGTCATGTGTGTTGGGTGTTTGTGTCCAGAGGTGATGGTCATGTGTGTTGGGTGTTTCAGTGACTAGGGGTGATGGTCATGTGTGTTGGGTGTTTTAGTGTCCAGGGGTGATGGTCATGTGTGTTGGGTGTGTTAGTGTCCAGGGGTTACGGTCATGTGTGTTGGGTGTTTCAGTGTCCAGGGGTGATGGTCATGTGTGTTGTATTTTGTGTTTATTTGTAAGTCTGTGGTGGGGGGGGGGGGGGGGGGGGTGTTGTTGGGTTTTTGTGAAATTCGCAGATAGTTTTTTCTGTGAAGTTTATAGAGTTATTAATTCTGGATCCATAATTCTGTGGCACTGTTTGACATTGAATGCCAGCCCAAAGTTTTGTTGCATCAGATTATTTAGCTCGACTGCTCTATAACAAATACAGTACTAGACTGGACACGGACAGATTTGATGTCCATGTCCAGTTACCAGTACAAAAACTGGAGACCAAACACAGATAGATTTGATGTCTATGTCCTATAACCAGTACAAAAACTCAAGCCTGAACACAGACAGATTTGATGTCCATATCCAATAACAAATACAAAAATTCAAGTATGATCATAAGACAGATTTGATGTTGGTGTAATAAAAAATACAAAGATTGAACATTGAACAGATTTTATGTCCATGCTCTATACTTAACATATAACTCAAAACTGATCTCTAGTAGTTGTCTTATTCATGGCTAAATAAATTGATGAAAGAGAACTGAAACAGGAATCTGAACTTGGGACCAATAAATAAGTTTATGACACCATGGGTAACAAATCTACTTGACAAATGTGAATGCCTCACCACTGACCAGAGCAAATCATTTGCCACAGATAGGAGTGATTGATTTATCAAAGACAGGAGTGAATGTTTCACCACTGATCAGAGTGAATGTTTTACCACTGATCAGGATAAATGATTCACCAGGCATGAGTGAATGTCTCACTACAGACAGGAGTGAATGTTTCACCACAGACAGGAGTGAATGTTTCACAAGCGACAGGAGCGAATGTTTCACAAGCAACAGGAGTGAATGTTTCACAAGCAACAGGAGTGAATGTTTCACAAGCGACAGGAGCGAATGTTTCACAAGCAACAGGAGTGAATGTTTCACCACAGACAGGAGTGAATGTTTCACCACAGACAGGAGTGAATGTTTCACAAGCGACAGGAGCGAATGTTTCACAAGCAACAGGAGTGAATGTTTCACAAGCAACAGGAGCGAATGTTTCACAAGCGACAGGAGCGAATGTTTCACAAGCGACAGGAGCGAATGTTTCACAAGCGACAGGAGCGAATGTTTCACAAGCAACAGGAGTGAATGTTTCACAAGCAACAGGAGCGAATGTTTCACAAGCAACAGGAGCGAATGTTTCACAAGCAACAGGAGTGAATGTTTCACAAGCAACAGGAGTGAATGTTTCACCACTGATAAAAGTAAATGTTTCACCACTGATAAAAGTAAATGTTTCACCACTGATAAAAGTGAATGTTTCACCACTGATAAAAGTGAATGTTTCACCACTGATAAAAAGTGAATGTTTCACAAGCAACAGGAGTGAATGTTTCACAAGCAACAGGAGTGAATGTTTCACAAGCAACAGGAGTGAATGTTTCACAAGCAACAGGAGTGAATGTTTCACAAGCAACAGGAGTGAATGTTTCACAAGCAACAGGAGCAAATGTTTCACAAGCAACAGGAGTGAATGTTTCACAAGCAACAGGAGTGAATGTTTCACAAGCAACAGGAGCAAATGTTTCACAAGCAACAGGAGTGAATGTCTCACTACAGACAGGAGTGAATGTCTCACTACAGACAGGAGTGAATGTCTCACTACAGACAGGAGTGAATGTTTCACAAGCGACAGGAGTGAATGTCTCACTACAGACAGGAGTGAATGTTTCACAAGCAACAGGAGTGAATGTCTCACTACAGACAGGAGTGAATGTTTCACAAGCAACAGGAGTAAATGTTTCACCACTGATAAAAGTAAATGTTTCACCACTGATAAAAGTGAATGTTTCACCACTGATAAAAGTGAATGTTTCACCACTGATAAAAGTGAATGTTTCACCACTGATAAAAGTGAATGTTTCACAAGCAACAGGAGTGAATGTTTCACAAGCAACAGGAGTGAATGTTTCACCACTGATAAAAGTGAATGTTTCACCACTGATAAAAGTGAATGTTTCACCACTGATAAAAGTGAATGTCTCACCAGTGATGAAAGTGAATGTCTCACCAGTGATGAAAGTGAATGTCTCAACAGTGACAAAAGTGAATGTCTCAACAGTGACAAAAGTGAATGTCTCAACAGTGACAAAAGTGAATGTCTCAACAGTGACGAAAGTGAATGTCTCACCAGTGACAAAAGTGAATGTCTCACCAGTGACAAAAGTGAATGTCTCACCACTGACGAAAGTGAATGTCTCACCACTGACGAAAGTGAATGTCTCACCACTGACGAAAGTGAATGTCTCACCACTGACGAAAGTGAATGTCTCACCACTGACAAAAGTGAATGAGTCACCAGTGATAAAAGTGAATGTCTCACCACTGACAAATGTGAATAATTCACCACAGACAAGAGTGGTTGTTGCTGCTAACTCGTGTGTGTGCATTTATTTCTCTAATATACTTTCTTAAAAGCCATGTTTGAAATTGTGTATTTCTGCAAAGCAAAAACATAATATATTACCTAACTTCAACGTATGCCTGTTACATTATTCATTATCAAAGAAATATTATGTATGTCAGTGTCATTAATGAAATGTAGAATCTCAGTGCCGTTATCACAGTCATTCTTCGTGATTGCAGTTAATTAATTGTCCATGGAAAGATGTCAAATTAAAACAGAAATAACAGATTTTGTCTTATTTGAGTCTTGAGCAATATAACTGGAAACAGGTCGGTAACATTGGCTGTCGGGTCGATTTCGTAAAGGCAGCTGGTATGCTGTGCAGCAAATCCCCCATCAAGTGCCAGTTGGTTATGATATGTTATTGGTTTTAAACAAAATTGAGTGTAGCACTGTATGCTTCAGTGAAAAGGGCCGATAATTTTTTTTTCAGGTCAGAAGGATTTTGTAACAGCACTGAGTAGTGAGTGTGTGTGTGTGTGCGTGCGTGTGTGTGTGTGTGTGTGACTGACTGAGTTGCTAATTTTAGTGTCTGGTGTGTCAGCAACTCTTGACCAGCTTTGCAGGTCTCATTTGAAATAGGTTTGTTTGAAACAACTTGTGTTTATGTAATGTTAATAAACTTTTGACATTTGACATTACCTCAATTTGTGATGAGTGTGGATCAGAAAAACCAGGTTTGTGGCATTGGTTCACTTTGTGTTGGGTACAGATAAGAAAGAGCTTTTTTGTGGTTTGAGAGTGATAGGCGCAGATGAGAAAGACCTGGTTTGTGGCATTGCCTTCACTTTGTGGTGGATGCAGATGGTTTGAGAGTGATAGGCGCAGATGAGAAAGACCTGGTTTGTGGCATTGCCTTCACTTTGTGGTGGATGCAGATGGTTTGAGAGTGATAGGCGCAGATGAGAAAGACCTGGTTTGTGGCATTGCCTTCACTTTGTGGTGGATGCAGATGGTTTGAGAGTGATAGGCGCAGATGAGAAAGACCTGGTTTGTGGCATTGCCTTCACTTTGTGGTGGATGCAGATGGTTTGAGAGTGATAGGCGCAGATGAGAAAGACCTGGTTTGTGGCATTGCCTTCACTTTGTGGTGGATGCAGATGGTTTGAGAGTGATAGGCGCAGATGAGAAAGACCTGGTTTGTGGCATTGCCTTCACTTTGTGGTGGATGCAGATGGTTTGAGAGTGATAGGCGCAGATGAGAAAGACCTGGTTTGTGGCATTGCTACATTTTGTGATGGGTGCAGATGAGAAAGACCCGGTTTGTGGCATTGCTACATTTTGTGATGGGTGCAGATGAGAAAGACCTGGTTTGTGGCATTGCTACATTTTGTGATGGGTGCAGATGAGAAAGACCTGGTTTGTGGCATTGCTACATTTTGTGATGGGTGCAGATGAGAAAGACCTGGTTTGTGGCATTGCTACAATTTGTGATGGGTGCAGATGAGAAAGACCTGGTTTGTGGCATTGCTACATTTTGTGATGGGTGCAGATGAGAAAGACCTGGTTTATGGCATTGCTACATTTTGTGATGGGTGCAGATGAGAAAGACCTGGTTTGTGGCATTGCTACATTTTGTGTTGGGTGCAGACGAGAAAGACCTGGTTTGTGGCATTGCTACATTTTGTGATGGGTGCAGATGAGAAAGACCTGGTTTATGGCATTGCTACATTTTGTGATGGGTGCAGATGAGAAAGACCTGGTTTGTGGCATTGCTACATTTTGTGTTGGGTGCAGATGAGAAAGACCTGGTTTGTGGCGCTGCTACATTTTGTGATGGGTGCAGATGAGAAAGACCTGGTTTGTGGCATTGCTACATTTTGTGATGGGTGCAGATGAGAAAGACCTGGTTTGTGGCATTGCTACATTTTGTGATGGGTGCAGATGAGAAAGACCCAGTTTATTTCCTTACTGCCTCTACTTTTCCATGAAATATCCAGACACCCGTTTTCACTGCTTTTACTTTTCCAATTACCCATTTGATGGTGGTTTGACCTGGGAGCATGGGTCAGGACTAAAAACTCACCTTGATGGGGAAGAGAACACCTGTTTAAATACAGGATGAGGAGGAGGTTCACTAGAAACAGGGTTCAGACTGGTGATGACCTATCTACACCACTCCAAGGTCATGCTATAAACTTGGTTCCCAACCTGGCCAGACGTAGATGGGATCAATGTCTCCTTCAAGGTCAGGGTGCATCTGCCGGAAAGGCAGGGAACCAATAGTCTGCACACAATTAAGCCAGATCTGTAGAATGGATTGCAGGCAACAGTCAAGTCCTGGAACAAGACCACAAAGTTCAGAAGTGGCCGAACAGCCAGGAATTTCCACCACAGTTTACTTCTGGTGAATGAAAAAGATTTATATAAAAGATAATCTTTAAAATTAAAAATAAAAAAAAAATAAGTAAAATATAATCATTGTGCAGTTCTGACACTTTAATAACTTTACATCTAAAGCAAGAATGACGAGACAGTGCATTGATAACATGAACACAAATGACTATTACAAGCAATAAGTTAGCTTCCACAAAGCCACATATAACAAAATGCGGTTAGTTCGACGTTAATCTCCCCAAACAGAGAAGGTTACTTTTCATTCACAAGTTTGTTGGGCTGGTCGACTTTTCTGAAGGTTAAGGGTGTGTGCCACTCTGTTGTTTGGTTTCTCTGATGTCTTGCATTTATGTTTTCATTCCGAGAAAGAGAATACCTGTGACATAGGGTGCAGCACTATCAAAGGGGGGTTGTGTTAGACCCAGTTTCAATATGATTCTGGAGTGTTAAAAGTGTTGGCATGCTGAAATATACACCATGCAATATCAACGGCATTGCAAAAAAAAAAAAAAAACCTTGTGCGAAGGTCACGGGGGTCAGGAACTACCAATCAGAAGTAAGCTAGTGTGTATATGGGCAGGGTCTTGGGAGACTAACATCAGTTTAACCCACAATGCAATCTACAAGATGCCTCACATACTCTCCCTGAGATCAGCTTTAAAATGGTCACTTGCTAAGTAACAAGCTGTAGCAGAGATTCCCAACCTGATATCTCTGAACAACAGCACTTCAGCTCCCTGTGTGG